TTTTTTTTTACGGCCTCTTTTTGGGGGGGGAAGTCCTTTCCCGGGGGGGGGGGGTGGAGTGGGGGAGGGGACAAAGGGTAGGGAATGGAGGGTTATTTTCTGCTGACACATTGCTTCACTCTTTGGCTGTTCCAGGGACTGTAAAGTCAGGGTGAGGTTTCGGGGAAGTTTTCCCAAGTAGGGGATGGACCTCACCTTTATTTAACCCTGTAAGAGCAGGCTGTTGGCTGTAATTAAACAGTGTCGGGAGTTTGTCTTGCTGTGATTCATAGATGAGTTTTCGTATCATTTAAACTTGAGCTAAATTATGCTATTTAACTTTGGATGTGTATGGACCTGTGGGTTCGATTTTGTGTTAATGACGTCTTCCTAGTTGCTGAGTGGATGTGGGAGGTGTACAAGGAGGGAATCAGACTCAGCCCTTTCCAGAAGAGACTAGGCGTAAGAGTGCATTTCCTGAAGGAGTGAAGGCCCTGGGACTTAGGTACAAGCCTTTACCACAGCTAGTGGGAAGAGCTTAAAGAGTACTTGGAAGTGAACTGTCTTTCCCCAGGGAGAAGGGAGCAGGAAGGGGGAAGAAGGGTGTGGTGCAGATCCTAGGGAGGAAGGACTTCAGAAAAACCATTGCAGGATGTTCTTGCCATAAACCAAAACCGCAGTGTGCTGGAGAGGATGACTCTGACCCCGCCCCCAACCTTTTATTTTGTTTTATTTATTATTATTATTTTTTGGTGACTGGCCAGTAAAGGGATCTGAACCTTTGATCCCTGACCTTTTAGATGAGCCTGATAGGAAAGGCACTCACGGGACCCCGCCCCCAACCTTTTATTTTGTTTTATTTATTATTATTATTTTTTGGTGACTGGCCAGTACAGGGATCTGAACCTTTGATCCCTGACCTTTTAGATGAGCCTGATAGGAAAGGCACTCACGGGCGCTATGATCCCAAGGACTCAAGAGAGCCTGGGCTGGTGCCCGTGTGGGTGCATAGGAGAGCGGGCTGGCCTCGGAGGAAGGCTGGTCAGTGTTTGGGCTTTCCCACTCATGTTCAGAGTCAAGCTTGACAGAAGGTGCTGTCCAAATCGTGTATGCTGACCCCTGTCGGGAGTCTCCTGTGTCTCACATCTAGGGTGATCAATATCCTGGTTGGCCCAGGGCAGTTCAGGTCTTAGCATTGAAAGTCCCATGTCCCAGGGAACCCCACAGTTCTGGGCAGACCCTACCACATTGCACAGTCTTAGTAGAGCCCTTGGCATTCTTTGGAAACATATAGAGCCATTTGGGAGAGTTTCTGGGGGTTAATTAGATCATTAATGATCTGCTGTTGGGGAAGAGTCACCAGAATTACACCTTGCTCTATTTCCTCTCAGTGGAATTCCCGCTGTGTGTGTGCATGTGTCTGTGCATGTACATGCATGGGCCTCTGCTTTTCTTTTGGAAAACTAGCATATTACCTGGTTTCTGCATCTCAAAGAAGAACCCCACAGATAACGCTGCAAGCAAGAAGCCTTCCTCCCTTGGAAGGGAGTAAGGGAGGGGAAAATGCCATAAAACTAACACATTAGTAATTTCTGTCTCTATTTTACACACACCCCTTTAATCACATTCTGAAGAGGAAGATATCTAGCTCATAGTTTAATGTGTGTAGTCATCAAAGAATATGAGAAAAAATTAACTGGAACTTTCGCTTCTTGCTCTAGGAATTTGAAGCCTACGTCAATGCTTCTGGAGAACATGGAATTGTGGTTTTCTCTTTGGGATCCATGGTCTCAGAGATTCCAGAGAAGAAAGCCATGGCAATTGCTGATGCTTTGGGAAAAATACCCCAGACAGTAAGAAGATTCTATATGACTCATTCATATCTATCTTCACTGAAGTTCTAACCTCACACTTCCAATATCCAATGAATTCTATTAGTTGGAACTATAGATTTGGGTTTTTGTTGCTATTCCCAACTGTTCATCCAAAGTTCTTTTTTGTGTTTGCAGTTTAACTCCCAACTACTCCATTAAACCACACTCCACTTCACTCAGAAGTCTTATTTTCACTGAGACTCAAGAGTGTATTAAAGAGAATTTATTTAAAAATAAAATAAACAGGATATTGTTTCTTCATAATAAATGGGAATATTTCTCCAAAAAGCTGTTGGATGGGACACTGAATTTATTTTTTATATTCCTGCTTTTATAGTTCTGCATCCACTCATTTGATTAAGTAAACTTTCCCTCAAAGCACAGAAAAGTGAAAAAATCATAAGTGCATACGATGAACTTTCACAGATTCACGTAGTGAATGCACCCTTGTAAGCAAGCCTCCAGAACAAGACACAAAATGTTGCCAGCCCCAGAAGCCCTTTTAGTCACTAAACCTGTCACCCTTGTAAAGATTATGTTCATTCAGAGGACCCATTTTCTAGCTACAATAGGAGATTTTTCTGTTGAATCTACTTATGTTCTCTCTTGAAATTCTGTTCTTTCTGTTCCTGCAAGGTCCTTTGGCGGTACACCGGACCACGACCATCGAATCTTGCAAATAATACGATACTTGTCAAGTGGCTACCCCAAAATGATCTGCTTGGTATGTTGGGAGGATTCAGTGTGTAGGTCAAAGCAGGGCTAAATTCAGAAAATGGACTAGGCGAGCCTTATCTGTTATATAAATAAAGGATTATTTAGCTTAAAAATATTATGGCCAAGATATCCCACATTGCTTTTTATCTAGTGAGGTATCTCAACCCACATTTTCTTCTACAAACTTTTGGGAGGGCCACATGTGGATAACACGGAGTCCTTTGAGTGCTTTCAGGACCTAGATGAAGTCACACCGAAACTCAGCGACTTGACCACGGGCATCCCTCTCTTTTCTACTTCTTAGGTCACCCGAAGACTCGCGCCTTTATCACACATTCTGGTTCCCACGGTATTTATGAAGGAATATGCAATGGCGTGCCGATGGTCATGATGCCCCTGTTTGGCGACCAGATGGACAATGCGAAGCGCATGGAGACCAAGGGAGCTGGAGTGACACTGAATGTCCTTGAGATGACGTCTGAAGATTTAGAGAATGCCCTAAAAGCTGTCATCAATGACAAAAGGTAACAGAGGCGGAACAGAAGAATGATACCTGTATTTTGGCCATTGTGTTCATGATAAATATTCAAATTCAAAAACAGATACATAATAATCTAGATTTATAAATAGGATAATTTGGGGGTTATTTTTATTTATAAAAGGATCCTTCAGTTCCTATATAATTTATCATAGAATTTATTTTCCCTGGTAGATTTGAAACTTTGATGTATAAAAAAAAGTCATAATGGACGTCTGTTCTATAAGTTCCTATAAAGAAGGAAATATTCCATTACAAGAAGCATAGTGTCCATAAGATAAAAACAAACCAGGCGCTTAGAAGTACAGATTTCCCAGCACTGGAACCTGTGAAAAATTTTGTCCACAGGGCTCTATAAATGGGAGAGTCACATGATATCACAGACAAAGGCTTAGAATAAAAGCAAAGGAAAATGTGTTCAAATGTGGTCCTGAAAACTGTTCAAAAAGCAAAAGTCATCAGATCAAATTATCTCTGCCTGAAATTTGGTTTGTTACTGTTTAGCTTATTGGTAATCGGCTGATCAGAACCTTATGGGGAGAAGTGACAACAGTGGTGGATTTTATCCAGCGATGGGTTGTATGTGTGTGTGTACATGTGTGTGCATGTGTGTGTGCGTGCATGTGAGCAGGTACTCGTGTGTGCGAGTGTACGTACGTGTGTGCGTGCATATGAGTGTGGGTGTGTGTCTATGACAGAGCCAGGCACTTCCCCCCATGGTTGCTTCCTTTAGAAAGAGGCATCAGTCGAGAGGATCGATGTGAAGAGTTGCAGTGTGTTCACACGGGAGGAAACAGTACACAGGGGGACACGCCCAGCCCGGGTGAGGGAAAGTGCAGGAGAATGGATGACTGACTTCCAGCATTTGAGGTGCTAATATGCATGTGGCACAGGTGGAGAAAAAGGACAAGTGCACATGGCCGTGAGGGAGAGTGCCCAGAGTGCTGGGTGTGCGGGTCTCACCCCCTCCGTGCAGTTGGCTCCTTCCAGCAGCCAGCTGCTCAGCGTCAGGCTGCGCTGCCCACACACAGTGCGGTGGGAACATGACTTCCCTCTGCCGCCGACGAAACTCGTTCTTTGACGTTTACATTCTTAATAGAATTGTGATCCTTTGTTCAGTGATAAAAATAATTACTTGTAATCTAAAAACAACTTGGTAGATGTTCTCATGTGCATTGTTATCTTTTAAAAACACTGATCAACCAGCTTAAGTTATTAACTAACTTCATCTATTCATTTTTGAGCCATCTCTATCTGATCATGAATCTCCATGTTTCTAGCACTCTAAGCTGGGACTGTACCTACACAAAGTACAGAGAAATGGAAAATTCTCAAATATCAGTTTATGCAACTGGTACATAATAGATGCTCAATAAATATTGAAGGAATGACTGAAAGTTCTAAGAAAACCTATCCTAAGAGAATATCTATGTAGAGGAAAGATGTTTCACAGGATTTATGGGCAAATATTAATATTATAATAACGTATCCCAATAAAATTGTATGTTTAATGACAGCACTGATCATAATTAGTTCTGAACAGGAGTGTTTTCTTTTTCTTCTCCTCTTCCTCTTTTTCCTCCTCCTCTTCCTTTTTCTGGTGCATCTGCACCAAAGGTTGAAACATCTAACCCATTTTAGATGTTTCAGAACATTTAGATGTTCTGATTTTGCTATCAACACTGTCCAGGATAAACAGGAATCCATTTTGCATTAACAGCTGCATTGGCACAGCCTCACGCTAAAGTTAGCACTTGGATGGTTTGATGTTTCAACTATCGAAATGGAAGTACAGTTTATCTCCACAGTGGAGTCGGCACTTAAAAATGGCTTTTACTTTGTCCAGCTGTGATTGTTTACAACTTCATATGGGAGACCATTCATAATTTCTCACATGACCTTTTCCTTTCTTTATTTTACTATAACAAAGGAATAATCTAATTTCTCACAGAATTCTTCTTTTAAAAATTTACTATAAAGAAAGTATAATCTAATTTCCCACAAAAAAATCACTAAAAAGAAAAGAAGAAAAGAAGGAAGCAAATTTCAAATATTTGTAAAATTATACTTTTGGCTTCCAGTTTCCTTCCTTCCTTCCTCCGTCCCTTCCTTCCTTCTTCTTCCTTCCTTCCCGTTATAATAGAAGCACATTTCCTCTAGCAAGTTTGGAAGATCTGGTAGCATTCCTCACCGGAAGCAAGCATAGAGAGAGGATGGTTCAGTACTATTGGTGTTCCAGGTATTCACATAACCGTCTTTGTGTTTAGCTACAAGGAGAACATCATGCATCTCTCCAGCCTTCACAAGGACCGCCCCATCGAGCCGCTGGACCTGGCTGTATTCTGGATAGAGTTCGTGATGAGGCACAAGGGAGCGCCCCACCTGCGCCCTGCTGCCCATGACCTCACCTGGTACCAGTACCACTCCTTGGATGTGATTGGCTTCCTCCTGGCCATCGTGCTGACAGTGGCCTTCATTGCCTTTAAATGCTGTGCCTATGGTTGCCGGAAGTGCTTTGGGAAAAAAGGGCGAGTTAAAGCCCGCAAGTCCAAGGCACAGTGAGAAGTGGGTAGGAAATAGGTGACATTTTGATCCATTCCCTAGTTAATTTCAAACGTGCAGAAATATTCACTGTTAAATTAATTTCATTCTTATAAATATGTTGCTATAAGTTAGACATCCCCAGAGTGTTTTTTTTTTTAATAAAATAGTGTAGTTTCTAGTCACACCTGTAGGTAAAAATAGTTGAATACACGTTCTGAACCCTTCAGTATGTTTAATCTAGACCGTACTTGTCATCTTTCAAATGACTTGCAGAGAGGGTTGGCCCGTACTCAGAAATGTGACCTGTTTGGGAGCACAGGATTCAGAGGTGGACCCACAGCTGCCCCACTTCAGATTATCGTCTGGCTTCTGTAGGTTGTTGTAATTGACCCCTTTACCAATAATGGTGGGTCCTCATTTATGCTTATGTTTCACAGGTGTTGCTTTGTGTGTTTAAAAAAGGAAATTTTTGCACCTTTAGGGAGTAGTGGCCTGTACTAGAGATGACTGCATGATTTAGAGCCCATTGAGGACAGTGTATGATTTCTGAATGATGCTATAAAATCGAGGGTGGTATATTTGAGGGGATAATCATTGCTTGTGTCAAATGGCTCCGAGCTGATAAAAACCCAAAGTATAGTGCCAGGAAAGTATATTTTATCTGTCATTTTCCACAATTAAAAATTATATTAATAAATTCTTATAAATTATATTTCTTAGGTGTTTTTCTCTTCGTTGGTGTTGCATTTCTGTATTGTTAAATTTTCTAATTGTGAAAATAATGCATGATTATGGCAGCAAATTTGAAAGCTATAGAGGTTCGCACATCTACACACATACACAAGAAAAGAAGAATCACCAATAAACACATTGTCCAGAAATAACCACTGTTACTATTTTGGCAAATACATATAAATACTGCAGATATACCAAATATACCTGGTGTTTTCTAACACTCTTCACTCTGTTGTGAATGTTGTCCTGATGTTTTTGTGTAAAATTTAATTCATTTTTGGTGGCTGAGGAGTATTCTAGGGCATGCATAGACCAGGATATATTTAACCACGACTTCTGGGAGGATTCACTTTATTCTTTTATAAGAAAGGACTCACTGAACATCCTAGTCGCTAAATCTTTGCACCTATTCATGATTATTTCCATGGGAAAGTGGTTCACAACAAATTGTTGGTCATCTCAGTTCGTATTCCCCTGGGACAAGGATTCAAGGCCCAGGAGTTTATTGGGGACTAAAGGAAACGCTGACAGGGGGTGGGAAGTGAGAAGAAGAACCAGGTCTCTTGTGGGTGGCCTCTGGGTCAGCTTCTGTACGTTGTCTCCATTTCCCCCACACTCACCTTGGCCCTTTCTTACATTTAAGCTCACGGGATTCTACAAATACAGTGTTTCCTTATTCCCTGGTTAGTGCCCAAAGAAGCAGGCCTGGGAAGCTCCATAGATTGACAGCAACGAAGAGAGGCTAGTTTTGTGAATGGATTGTATGTGAGTCCGATACTATTGCCATAGTCAGAAAAAAAAAATCATTTTGGAAAGCCAAGCTAAGCCCACTTCTTTCTCCTTGATCTCATTTTCTTAGTGTGCTCTCTAGATAACGTGGTCAGGAGTGTCTCACTTTTTGCTGTGGCTTACATACTTACCCTGTGTGTAATTTTTAAAATGGCCCTTTCCTGTACCTCTCCTGGTTGCCACGTCCTATACGATGTGACTTTGCAGCTCTTCCCATCAAGAGGAGGCTTTTCCTTCACTTTCCCTATACCAATGTGTCTGCAAAGGGCAGAACTGGGAACAAGGCAGGAACTTTATGGGGAAGAAATATTCAGCACCACCTCTCTGCAGCTCATTTTCCAACCATCTGAATTTCATGAAGTAGAAATGGGCTGCTGTAGGGAAAATATAGGAAAATGGTCAGGGCCCCTCAGATGTTCAGAATCTTGCCGAGCATTTGATGTAAATACGCACGTGCGCCCAGGTGTTCTTTGGTTATTGTCTCATGTAATTGCGCATGTGCACCCAGGTGTCCTGGGTTATTGGACTTGAATATAAAGGACGAGTGGCTCTGATCCACGGTGCCCCCTGCCCCTAGGATGGCCCCAGGAGGGCCACGGGGAGGAGGCCGCTGCTGCTGCTGGAGACTATTGCTATAAGCTGCTGCTGCTGCTGAGGAAGCTGAGGACCTAGCTTGTGCTATCTGCCAATGGCCCCCAGGATCTTTCCCAATTACATAGCTCATGGACCTGCGTGTGTGGGGTCTGGTGAAGTCTGTACAATGGGTTTGAAGGGTCTGCGAGCCCTATCTTTAACCCTAGCAATACAATTGGCTATGTCAGCAGGATTCTGATAATTGCCTTAGCACTAATGTTGCTACTGAGGGGAGTCCAAGCAGAGGCTGAGAAACTCCACTTGGTTGGATGGGCAAACTTTGAGTGGGAATTTCAACTAAGCAGCCTTCGACCTATGTGCCTCTGAATCTTGTTCTTTTGCCCTGTAGTGCATAGAAAGGTTTCCCAAAAGCCAATATTTCATTGTTCAAACTATTGATCTGGACCATTGTATTAGTCCATTTCTGTTGCTTATAACAAAATACACAGAACTGGGTAATTTATAAGAAAGTGAAATTTATTGCTTACAGTTTCAGAGGCTGGGAAGTCCAAAGTCCAGGGGACACATTGAGTGAAGGCTTTCTTTGGTGGTGACTTCAGTGACTACAGGGTATCACAATGGAAAAATGACGTAGCAGAGAGAGCAAGAGAGACACTAACCTCCTCATTCACTCACTTTTTAAAGCCCCCAAACCATGCCCCTGACCACCATTTTAATCCATTCACTATGGCAGGGTCCTACAATCTCATCACCTCTTCAAGGACCCACCTTTCCGTTACCATCATAGGATTTCCCACCCTCAACAGTTATAGTGGGGATTAAGTTTGGGGGGCATGTTCAACCCAAAGCAACTATCTCTCTAAGCTACACGTGACAGGGAAATCCTTTGGGGCCCCACTTTCGGTTTAGGGAAGCAGCTGCCTGCTTTCCTACCTGTCTGTCTTTGAGGTTCTCTATCTTATAAGAATTCAGCTAGTGGGGAGCCACTTCTCCATCCTTTAAGCCACCCAGATCTTGGGGAGGGGGCATCCCTAACCCTCTTGGATGTCCCCTCCACGCCTCTCCAGCTTCCTGACTGTCCCCCACACCCTGTGTGGGTGAGACTGCAGCCCCCCTGGGACTTGGTTGGGAATCACCCAGTCTCACCACTTCCTTTTCCCAAACAGGCTGCCGTACTTCAGCACACACGTGTGGGTCACAGAAATGTTTAATAACAACATGATGTAGAGTTTTTATCCCAGGGCCCCATGCACTCCTCAAAGCCCTGAGTTGATAGAGACTCAGGGAGGCAGTTGGATCTCAAAGTTCCAAGGGCCTAGCATCGAACAGTGATGATTCTGGTGAAATCCTCCCACCCTGCTGGGAGAACCATTCCTCATAAGGAATACGAACAAAGAGCCCAACTGTCTCACTTTGACAACCCGTCCTGCCATTTCCATTTCCATTGATGCGTGAAGCAAAGAACAGAGCTATTTCTTGTGCTACATTTTTGTTTTATCCAGAAGAGGACTCTGATTAAAGGTCAGTATTTAGGCCCCAGAGTAGCTCTCTAAAGGATTTCCAGAGGTAAAGAGCAGAGAGGGTAAAGGGCCCCCCAGGATGGGCTTTGAGGACCGAGGAACCTGGAACAGGAGGAGAAAGGAACTGAGAGCATTTCACCCTACATCTTGACATCTCTGTTGGTGTTTGTCAACCCTTAAAAAGCAGTTGATGTGAAGAGAGCTGCTTAAAAGAGGTGATGGGACTGCTGATGTGGATTTCTAATTCATTGTTAGTTTATAGTGTCTGGAAAAGAGGAGGGAGGGCCCTTCTTAACCAAGTGTGTTAGTCATCTATTGCTGTGTAACAACTTATCATAAACTTAGTGGCTTAAAAGAACACCCATTTGATATCTCAAATCTTCTGTGAGTCAGCAGTCGGGACACGGCTTAGCTGGGTCCTTTGCTCCGGGTCTTAGTGGCCATGGTCAAAGTCTCGGCCGGGCTGCATTCCTTTCAGGAGCTCAAAGTCCTCTTCCAAGCTCATGTGGTTGTTGGCAAAATTCAGCTCCTTATGGCTGTAGGACTGAGGCCCTCAGCTCCTTTGTCACATGGCTCCTGCACAGGCAGTTTACATCACAGCTGTTTACTCTTCAAGGCCAGCAGGAGAATGTCTCACTCTAGTCTGAAAGACAGTCTCACATAGCATAATGTGGTCATGGCAGTGACTTCCCAGCACCTTTGCCATATAACGTAACCCATTCCGGGGAGGGACAGTCATCCCCTTTGCCGTAATTTATTAGTTATAAGCAAGTTCCAGGACCACCCACGCTCAAGGGGAAGGGATCACACAAAGGTGTGAATCAGTGAGGGTCACCTTAGGGTGTGTTGCCACACCAAGTGTTTTACACATCTCGTTGATCTCAGAAGAGCTTGAGAAAGTGATGGCAGAAGCAGCAACAGACTCCACTGAGGATGTGTCGGAGGAAACGGGGGACCTGGGACCTCTTGAATCAGATGATGGTGGTAAGGTCACCCACATCTCTGCACTCCTGCCCCATCTGGGCTACCAACTCCTTGAAAGAAGTCCCAGCCTAGGTCTCAGTTTCCCCACCTGCACAGTGGACATCACACCACAGGGGAAGCTGGAGCTGCGCAGGTGTAGGAGGAGGCCAGGGGCACAAGGGCACCACCTGAAATGGTCATGTTGCCACCGCACCTGTGCCGTCTTTGTTCCAGGTACCTTCCAACAAGTCACAAATCTTCTGAACATCATTGACAGCGAGTCAGCAAAGACGGACATAGCTGGGGCGGGGCTTGACATGCGGAGGACCCTGGCCTCCGTGATAATCACGGAGAAGGCCGCCACCAAGCCCTCTGTGGTGATGAACGCGCTCATCCGCTGCCTGCAGGTGCCGGAGGTAGGGCCACCTCGCCCTCAGCGCCCTCCTGGGCTCAGCTGCCAGCGGCTGCTTGTGCGCCCACCAATGGCTCAGAACACAGTTGCTGGCTGTCCCAGACGTGGTGCCGGGTGCTGGGACACAGAGCTGGGCAGGACTGGGGGCGCTTACTCCTTGAGGACCAACTGGGGCCTGGGGCTTTCATAATTTTTAAAACCTCCCTTGTATTCTGGCACAGCGGGTTTGGGAGCCATCGTCCTAGAGCACATGAGCTGAGTCACAAAGGCATTGAGGGAGAGCTACCAGGGGCGGGACACGGAGTGGGCCAAAGACACACCAGACATTGGGCACAGGTCTACCTGGGGTAGGGGGCTGGGGTGAAGGGTGTGGAAGGGAGTGATGGAAAGTGTAACAGGAGATGGTGGTGGACTTGTATGACAGGGTTTGGACCAGAGCATCAGAATCCCCTGGAGGGCTTGTTAAAACACAGATTCAGTAAGCCTGGGGTGGGGCCTGAGAACCAGCATTCCTAACAAGTTCCCAGATATACTGATGTTGCTGGTCTGGAGATCACACTTTGAGAACTAGTGTATTTTAGATGTTCCTTTAGCCTTGGAGATGGGCAGCAAAGGAGTTTTGTAAGCAGGGAGGCTTATTTTATAGAAAGCTTTACTTTATAGAAAGATGTACGGCAGCCCCAAGGAAGGTGTGCTGGAGTCAGGGAGCACAGGCAAGGGGTTTTCAGAACTGGCTGTTTTAAAGTGTAGGTTTTAATATTGTTCCAGTAGGGCGAGGCCCACAGCTGAGGAGACATTTGCCCTTGAAAAGTTAGTTTGTTGCTCACAGCTCCCAGGAGGAGGGACGTGCCACACCACGCAGGGATGCCCTGGACCTGCAGGGAGGAGGAGGGAGCGAGGGCAGACTGTGCATTGAGCTTTTATTGTGACTTATCTGGGAAGGGGCAGGGCAAGAAGGTTTAGGATTGGTCAGTTTGAATCATTTCAGCAGGTTCTGGGGCATTGNAGGGCGAGGCCCACAGCTGAGGAGACATTTGCCCTTGAAAAGTTAGTTTGTTGCTCACAGCTGCAGGGAGGAGGAGGGAGCGAGGGCAGACTGTGCATTGAGCTTTTATTGTGACTTATCTGGGAAGGGGCAGGGCAAGAAGGTTTAGGATTGGTCAGTTTGAATCATTTCAGCAGGTTCTGGGGCATTGTAGCTGTCCCCAGCTGTCTGGAACCTGGCCCTGGGTGATTAGGGCAGGGGGATAGTGGGCCAGGGTGGGACGGGCCGATGAAGGAGGTGTTGGGATGGGCTCTGGATTGATTGGTGTCTTAGTCAGCTTGGGCTGTCATAGCAGGGAACCATAGACCAGGCAGCTCGAAAAACAGAAATTCATCTTCTTGCAGTTCTGGAGGTTGGAAGTCCATGATCAAAGTGCCAGAAAATTTGGTTTCTGCTGAGGGCTCTCTTCCTGGCTTGCAGATGCCTGACCCCTCACCGTGTCCTCATGAGGCTTTTCTTCTGCGCATGCACAGGGAGAGAGAAAGCTCTCTTGTGTCTCCTTCTTTTGTAAAGGCACAATCCCACTGGAATAGAACTCCGTCCTAATGACCTGATTGGACCCTATTACCTCCCAAAGGCCCCATCTCCAAATACCACCCGATTGGGGAATTAGGGTCTCAACAATATGAATTTTGACGGAGCACAATTGAGTCCATAATAGTTGGTTCATATTTGAAAAGCATGTTTGTGGGCAATTTGTTTCTTGTCTCTAGGAAGTGGCTAGCTCTGGGCAGGCAGTCCCTCCAGGGCCAGCAAGGCCCTAAATGTCAAAGCATCAGAATACAGAGAGTAAAAACACGTGATTAATTCATAGGCCTCAATCAGTGATCAGTGCCAATAAATAGACAAAAAACAAGTGGACGTTTCCTAAATTAACATGCATCTAAGATTTTTATCTATTTCTCAATTAGTGAAGAGACCAGTAAGGTGTTAAAAGCTGTTCAAATGAGAATTTTACCTACGGAGATTTATATTCTTTACCAGACAAAATCCATTTGCGTTGCTATGAACAGGAATCATTTTCATTGCTCTGGAGGAAACATTTGCATTGTTAATGGTTTTCTACAACTAAGCTTCTTTCCCTACAGAGCTGTAAAACAGCCTAGGCAATCAAGGGCAATCAAAGATGCATATTTATACAGAACCCAATAGTAAAGAGCACGCCTGCCAGATAGCACCACACACTGCTTTGGAAGGTGGCCCACCAGTGATTACTTTTGCCAGTTTCCAAGTCTTTGAAAATTTTTCTCTCGTGACCATAAATATTCTCTGAAGATTATTCTGGATCACAAAAAAGGCTGCACTTATTATAATTTGCCTGTTTATACAGGGAGCCGCAAGCATGTCAAGTAAGCATATAGGCTTCCTTGAGTTTGCTTTGAAAAATCTAGGGCATGTATTCTCAGTGGGGTGAGATTGCCCCAAGTGCGTAAAACTGGTTCTTGGGGGATGGAGAAAATTTTACTTTTTTTAGTGTGTAAAGCACAGATATGTACACAGCATATAAAGAGATATACTCATATAGGATATCTGTGGTATTAAAGTTTTATTGAGGATGATTAGAAAAAAGTGTCTAACGAGGCTCCTTAGGGGGCACTGTTAATAATGATAATACAGGTTGAGAAACGCTGGTGAGAGCCACGCGGTACTGAGCATCTCCTAAGGCCACATCGTCTGTTGCTGCCCAGGAATTATGAGAACACTCTGAATGGAGTTTTGCAAACCTCTATTATTTTCCAACCCAAGACTAGAAAACCGAGGCCAAGACTCTCTGTACTGGGTTTCACCAGTAGAACTTATAAATTTGAGTGAATTCCTCTCTTCTTGAGGTCCTGACATTTGCTAAGTTTTCTGGACTATTGGGAAGTGACCTTTCCTCCCACGTGAAGTAGCAGGTCATTTCCCCAGAGGGCTTTGCAGGCAGTGGCCCCCCATATAAAGTCATTAAGAGTGGCTCATTCCCTAAGAGTGGCTGGTCATGACTAATAAAATGAGTCGCTTTCCAGGTGTGGCCTGGGTGCACCATCCATCTGTCCAATCCTGTCCTAAACAAGATCATTTTGAGTGGTGACAAGTGCTATCCATGTAGATATCGAAAGAGGGCAAGAGGCAAGTTTCCTGCTCTCAAATGCTCCCTCACTAGGACAAAGGGCAGAGCAAACCTACCTTCTTGGGTTTTCAAGATGCCCAGTGCCAATCCTGTCCTAAACAAGATCATTTTGAGTGGTGACAAGTGCTATCCATGTAGATATCGAGAGAGGGCAAGAGGCAAGTTTCCTGCTCTCAAATGCTCCCTCACTAGGACAAAGGGCAGAGCAAACCTACCTTCTTGGGTTTTCAAGATGCCCAGTACATGGAGGACCTTGTGTGTAGGCTGCTTTGCTGAATATGGGCTGAAAACAGGGAAGAGAAAACTGATGTACAAGCCATACTGACAAGCCGGTGGGATGAGTCCGATGGGAGGAGGGAAGCAGGAAGCATTGGAGCCAGAGGAGTCGGGGTCGACACTCAGGTGGTTGGAGGATGGTGGTCACCTTCTCCAGATGGGTGCAGAGGAGGACCGGGGGAGGGAGGGAGGTGGACTTGTGGTGCTGGGGGCAGGGTGGGGTATGTCCCAGGACCCCTTGCCCAGCTGGGGATCTTCCCACTGACCATATTTGTTTCCCAGATTTCCACCCAGCGCAAGGTCAACATTTACAACATCCTCCAGGAAATCATCCAGCAGGAGGGGGAGCTGGAAGAGCAGTGCGTCCAGAGGCTGGTGGCCATCGCCTCCGAGGAGATGAGGGCGATCCCAGAGGTAGCATGGCCCGGGGCTCCATCAGCGCCTTCCCTCTGCCAGACCAGGAGCTGGGCCATTGGGGGGCCTGGCTGGGGATGCCCAAGGGCCTTGTGCCATGACCTCATGGGGCAGGAGTAGGCTGAGCCCAAGGGAGCCAACAGGGGTGGAGACATCATTAGATGGCAGCTCCGCATGGCCCTCTCCTGTCACCTGCAGATGGAGGGCTACGTGAAGGCAGAGGTGGCCAGTGACACCCTGGTGGCTCTGTCCCGAAACCACTTCAGCTTGGTCATGTATGAGCTGCAGCACCACCTCAAGCCACTCAACCTCACCGACGAATTTGTCATCATCACCTTGGCCAAGCTGGCCAACGGCAGCGGTAGGGGCTCGACGGGCCTGCAGGTCTCGGCCCCTCTCTGTCTCTGTCCTCATCTCTGCCCCTCCCTTCCCTCTTTCCTTTCTCTGGTGTCCCTTCTTGTTGTCGCTGCTTGTCTCTTTGTCTCCGTCAGCTGTTAGAGTCTCTCTCTGGGTTTCTGCCTCTCACTTTTGTATCTTTATTCCTCTCTCCCTCCCTCTCTGTCTCCCCTTTGCCTGCTTTGTCCTGTCTTCCCATCTCCTTTCTCTTCTGATGTCCTTTCCCTCCCTACCCCCTCTCCTTTCACTCCACAAACGTGTGCTGAGCTCCTGCAGCACACGGCCCTTCCGGAGGGTGCCGGGCCGCAGCAAAGAATGAGACACGCTCTGTCCTCAGGTGACCCAAGTCCTGAGCGATTCCCTTTCCAACATGTGACAGTTAGCCCGGGACGAGCTCATTGCCAGTAACGCTCGCCAGATAGTACTTAAAGGAAAAAGCTCTTTACTATGGAAGACATGGCAGCCAGAGACAGAGGGTAAAATCTCAGCTGCCTCCCGATTGCCGAGGGAAGGGAGGTTTGATGGAGTTTGGGGATGGGGGCTCCGGGCAAGGGGCCAGCTGCAAAATGTCCCAGTGTGACAATCAGCTGCCCTCTGAGGTCTTCTGTGGTGCCAAAGCTCCGTCTGTTTCCTGTTCTCATCCCTGATGTTATCTTAGGGTCCAGATGACCTCGTCTCCTTCCCAGCTGTTAGTATGACTTTGCTGTGTTGTGACTTAATCTCAGTCAATGGTTTGGGGCTAACTACAAAGCAAGAAAAACCAAGTAATTTCTCAAGAAAGCAAGCTAGAGGGGATGTTTAAAGCAGGTTTGGTTATGCTCAGAAGGGCCCCTAAACAAACAAGAAAATGAAAATGTTATAGTACAAGGCGAGGGGAACCTCGTCTCCGCAGGACCCTCAGTGAGGTAGCAATATTCCAGCTGAGACACGACAGATGAGAGGAAGGCATCCCGTGATGAACGGGAAGGGGGGACACCCCACTCGGAGAGGCGAGAACATCACGTGCAAAGGCCCTGGGGCAGGAGCGGGCTTGGCTTCTCTGAACTAGTGACAGGCCCTGTGGCTGGAGTTAGGGAGGGGTGGGGGGCAGGGCGATGACGAGGTGAAGAGTTAGGCAGGGCCTGGTGGCCCAGGTGAAGGGTCTGGATTTGGGGGGAAGCTATTGAAGGACTTGAAGCTGCAGAGTTGCCTGATGAAATTTAGGCCCCAGGAAGACCATTCTGGCTGCTGTGACGGCTGAGAAGGGATGGGAGGTGTGTGAGGGTGAGGTGATGTGACTTGGGCGGGGACACATTTGGTGGGTGGCGGGCAGATAGGGAATGGGGCTCTGAGACGAGACATGCTGATGTCTTGTGTGTGGAGAAGCAATGGAGGAATGGAGAACCCCCATGTTTCGGGGTCTGAGCAACCGGGTGTTCGGTGGGTTCATTTCCTGAGATGGGAAACGCACGGAAGGAGTCTGGAGGCTCAAACAGAGAATGTTGTTGTGAGATGTCCAAGTGGAGAGGTGCAGGGGACAGTTGATTTGTGCAGGCTGAGTTCCAAGGACAGGTATCGGCTTGACCTTCATTCTGGGTGGCCTCAGTGTAGGTGATATCGTGGGAGAAGGAGAATAACTCAGAAGGGACTGAGGTCCCAGTGTGGCCAGTTCTGTTGAGGGATCCAGTAGGATGGAGCTGGAGAAGGTGGAAGGTGGATGAGTTTCACGAACGGGGAAGCATCAGCCACTGGCTGGGGCAGAAAGAGGAAACGGGACGGCAGCTGGGGGGGCCTGTGGGGCAAGGCAGGGCCCAGGCCGGTGCGGGCGGGGACACTGAAGCCCCAGGAGACAGGGACAGATCGACGGTGCCGGGGGGAGGGGCCCATCCAGGAAAGAAAATGTGGGACTTGCTATTATTTCATTGTAATGAGTATCTATGATTTTATTATTATAAAGTCTGAAGAAGGTGGGTGGGCACTCTCAGCATGAGTGGAGGGCTGTACTTATCAGTCTGATTCTGTAGCTCATAAGAGAATTCTTGGAACTGGGTACTTTGTAAGAAAACAAAATTTATTGCTTACAGTTTCAGAGGCTGGGAAGTCCAAAGTCCAGGGAACGCTTACAGCGAGGGCCGTTTTTGGTGGTGGCCCCACAGCAACCCTGGGGTCTCACATGGCAGAAAATGGCAGAGCAGAAAGAGGGAGACTCACGTGCTCTCCTTTTGAAGCCCTCAGGACCTCACCCCTGACCACCATTATTAATGCATTCACTAGGGCACAGTCCTACAACCTCATCACCTCTTCAAGGCCCCACCTTTCAATCATCACAACAGGACTTCCCATCCTCTTAACACTGTCACTGTGGAGACCAAGCTCCCAACACTAATCCATGAATCCATTACTACTGCACGGTCCTACAATCCAGTCACCTCTTCAAGACTCCATCTTTTAATGACCATAATGGGACTTCCCACCCTCTTAACAGTCACAGTGGGGACCAAGCCTCCAACACAGTGAACTTCGGGGGGGACACAATTTAAGCTTCAGTGAGTTTGGAGGGGGCATTTGATCCACAGCAAGGGGCCAGGCTGGGAGGGAGGACCTGCCTCCTTCAGACGGTGGGTCTGCTCTGGTTTTTCTCCCTCCCCTCCATGAGCACCCCTTTCTTTGCTCTCTTTCCTTCTGCTTGCCCCTGCCACGCTCTCAGTCCCTCCGTCAGTCCCTCTCCCTCGTCTGCTGTCTCCCTGTTTCTTCATTCATCCAAGGACATTTGTGGGGCCCCTAAAGGAGTCAGACATCCGTGGACCTTCCTCTTTCCCCTTCTGGCCTCCCTGCCTTCCCTGTGGCCTTCTGTCTGCATCCCCAGCCTCTCTTTGGCCTCCTGCTCCTTCTCCTTGTGTCTCTCCCTCTTCCTGCCTCCTCCTCTTGTTCCTGTCTTCCTTTCTCCTTCACCCACTTCTAGCTCCTTCTTTTTACCTTTACTGACTCCCATGCTATTTTTTGTGCCCCCAGCCAGGGCAGAGGGGACCACCAGGGGCTGGAGGTGGAGGGCAGCAGGGTTGTCCTCTCTGCCTTCTCCCCGCTCACCCCAGACCCCATCTCCCTGTGACCTCTCCCCACACCCCACAGTGTTTGAGTTCATGCCATACATGGGCATCACCCTGGCTACCATATTCACGATGCTGAGACTCACCAATGAAGCCAAGATGCGCCAGGTGATATGCGGTGGTGCGTGTCCCATTCGGGCCTGCAGGTCAGGCCTGATCAGGGTGCCGGGGGCGGGGGGAGTGTTGTTCATTTGTTCCTGAACTTTATTGATATGCGGTGGTGCGTGTCCCATTCGGGCCTGCAGGTCAGGCCTGATCAGGGTGCCGGGGTGTTCATTTGTTCCTGAACTTTACACAATCTCTTACTTTGCGTGGTTTTGATGGGCTCTCTGGGGAGAAAGGAGGCTAAGACATGGGGGGGTGCCTTTTGAAGATCATGGCTTAGAGGGAGGCGGCTGTCACTGTGACTCTGTTTAGTTTGCTTTGTAGTTAAGCATTTCAGGAGACTAGGGAGGAACGATGGACATTCACAGGAGAAGACCAGGGAAAATGTCACCATTGGGGGTGTGACTTGGGCAGGTCTTTGATGCTATTTAAATCTGATCACATTGTCTTGTCCCAGGTTTTGATTACCTGACATTTTTGTGGGCTAAAACACCCTGAAGCCTTAGAGAAAGAGGGCCAAATGTGTTTGCTGCCCTCTGCATTGAACTGTCCACGATGTGGGTGAAGAGTCATATCCCAGGCCCAACCTCGACCTGCGTCCTTGAAGGGGAGGGGTCTAGATGCGCCTGTGTGCTCAGCTCTCACACTCAGCCCTCTGCATTGAACTGTCCACGATGTGGGTGAAGAGTCATATCCCAGGCCCAACCTCGACCCGCGTCCTTGAAGGGGAGGGGTCTAGATGCACCTGTGTGCTCAGCTCTCACACTCAAATATGCAGGGAAATTAGGGAACTGTGGGGGGTTGGAAGGGCAGAGAGAGGGACACGGCCACCTGCTAGCTATGGGGACGCATGGGCACTCCCTCCCGGAGAAGGTGAGCTAGGAAGGTCTGTTCTGCTCCGTCCCTCTGGCCCTGCTGTGGCAGCCATGGAGACCTTCTGTGAGACAGTGCAGTTCTACCTGAAGCACTTGGAGGACAGCGTGTACCCAGTGATGACCGAGGACCAGTTTGCCCTGAAGCTGTTCCCAATGTACCGCTACTTTGTGACTGTGTGGCTGAGGCACCCCAGCCCCGAGGTGAGATGCACCCTCCTCAGGAGGGCCTGTGGTCCCCCAGGTCACAGCTCCCTGGACCGAGGGGCTGGAGATCCTGAGAGATGACTGGGCCCAGCCTCTTTCCTGGGACCCCCTTAATGGCCAGCGATCTGACTGATGGCAAAGCAGGGAACATGTGAATGCTGAACGGCACAGACCCCCAAGCCTCATGTCGTAAGGCCACCTTGTCAAAGACCCCAGGGAGTTGCTGGATGAGGGTCATAATCATTTTGAGAGTGCTTGGTATGCGCTGGGCTCTCTACGGGCCTCTTAGCTATGGGAGCTATGTCCACACCAATTCTGTGATGTAGGACCACTTTACAAATGAGGAGACTGAGGCACAGAGAGGTTAAGGTCACCTGGCTGATAAGTGGGCCCTAAACCTGGCAACCTGGGCAGATCTGCATCACCTGTGCAGGGTGAGGCCTCAACTCTATGTTGAGGTCCCTTCTGCTATGTGTCCTTGGACTCCATGGATGGGACTGGGATCACTGACCTTGTTAGGGGTCCTGGGACAATGAGTTGAAGACCCCATTTGCTGTGGCAGGTGAAGCTGGGGGTGGTCAAGTCCCTGAAGCCCATGCTGAACCTCCTCCTGCCCAACGATGACCTGCGGGAGCAGGTCTATGACTACATCCCCCTGCTGCTGGCCGAGTACCAGGGCGCCCTGGAGGCCCTCTCCATCACACAGGTAGGACCAAGCGGCATAGGCCACAGGCGGGCGCTTAGAAAATCTGGGGTTCCCAAGTGTCTGGGGAGTGTCATCTGGGTGGAAGTTGGGGATGTCAGATATCTGGATGGTGTGTCAGCAGACCCAACATCTGTGCCCTGCGGGGGCTGTGGAGCTGGCGCTCATAGGGTTTGTGGGAAAGAATGCTGCCACTCCAGGTGGAGGGACCAGAGTCTGAAAGGCGTTGGAGGCCATGGTCATGTCGGGGCCTTTGTATTAGCTCGCTAGGGTTGCTGTAACAAAGAACAAAAGCATGTGGCTTAAAACAACAGAAATGTCTTCTCTCACGGTTCTGGATGTCAGAAGTCCAAAATCAAGGTGTTGGCAGAGCTGTACCCCCTGCGAAGGCTCCAGAGAAGAAAGCTCTCCTGCCTCTTCCACCTTCTCGGCCCCTGGTCTTCCTTTGGCTTGGCAGTGTCACCCTAGTCCTCCCTCTATCCTCACCTGGCCTTCCATGTGGGTCTCTCCATGTCCTCTCTTCTTTTTACAAGGATACCAGTCACTGGGTTTAAAGCCCAACCTGAACCCAAGAGGATCTTATCTTGAGATTCTTAACTAATTACATCTGCAAAGACCCTATTTCCAAATAAGGTCACATTCTGAGGTTCTGGGTGGTTATGGATTTTGCAAGGACACACTCAGCTCATGACAGCCTTTACCTGGTGTGAGGGAGCCGTTCCAGGGTCCAGAGTGGAGGTGTGGCCGGGGCTGACATGCACTATAAGGCAGCCTCTCATCTGCAAACGAGGCATGGTCCTTAGCTAGAAAAGCAAGGAGTGGAAATGAGCATGACTGATGTAGGCAGCCATTTGTTAGATCATTCTGGCTAAAAAATGGGATTCTCCTCCAGGTGAACAGGAGAGAAAGGTGGGAAAGGCCTCAAATGCTGTGCTCAGTGGCCCAGTGCAGCACTTCCCAAGCTGTGCTGTGCCCAGGGGTACCGGGGGCTGATTGGAATGCAAAGTCAGATTCGGCAGGTCCCAGACATGACCGGGCCTGAGAGTCAGTGTTTCTAACCAGGGGATGCTGATACCACAGGTCAACAGGCCCGCTGAGTAGCGAGGGTCTAGAGTTAAACCCTGAGTTGGTAGGTCACCTGCCACCACTTGCCCATCTGTTGCAGGTCTTGAGGCAGATCCTGGAAGTGTCAGTCATCACCAACACCCCCATCCCCCAAATGCAGCTACACACCATTTTCACAGAGCTGCATGTCCAGGTGGGTCTAGCCAGCTCTGCCCGGCCAAGGCCTTCTCAGGGTGGATCAGCAGGAAGCAGACTGTGTGAGGTGGCCTGGCCCCCAACCCACTTGTGTGCCTCCTGCATCCCACTGGGATATGAGACTGTGGTGTCCACGCAGCCCCAAGCACAGTCCCCTGCGTGTCCCCTCCCCAGGTGTGCACCAAGGCCCCGGCCCAGCATCAGTACAGCAGCCAGAACCTGATGGAGATCGTGCACTGCTTCATAGCCCTCGGTGAGGCTCTGAGACAGGGTGCTCCCTGCCTGTGCCCAGGGCTGCTGGGAGCCTATGGGAGTCCTGGTCCCTTGGAGCACTGGGCCTGCCCTGGGCCTGGTGGACATGACTGCAGTGGTCCTTCCACCCCACAGCTCACTCCTACCCCAAGGAGCTGATGAAGTTCTTCTTCAGCCAGATGGAGATGAGCAAAGAGGCCATCCGCGTGGGGACTCTGACTCTGATTAGGGCTGTGGTGAGCGCAGATGGTGAGCAGGTGGGGCAGGCAGGTAGGGATTCGGGGAGGTGGGTCTCACTCCCCTCTGGGCCTCCGCCAGTTCCTCTTGAATAGACACTAGTGGGTGGGCCAAGGCAGCCAAAGTTCTTGGTTGCTTCACACTTTCTAACCTTGAACCTAAACAGCACTGTGGCCCACAGTCCCCACCGCCAACCCTCTGAGTCCGAACTTCGAACTGTTATACTGTATCCTACTGCTAACCTACAAAGCTAAACCAAAGGTTGGATATAAGGCCTAACTATACCACGCAGGCACAACGCTAAAACCCCATGGACTCGATTGTCATCCTTAAGCTCAAACTCTAAACCTGGCCTTGATATCCAAAAGGAACCCCTGTCCCTAACCGAGGCACTACCTCGCACTGCACCTTTGTGTGAATGTGAACAGGGCGCCCGCTGCTGGCACCAAGCAGCCCTGCAGGTACGCAATGGTTAGAAGAGCGGGGGCAGCTCCCACTCAGCCCTAAGCCACCAGGCGCCTTTGAGCAGTGCACAAACTGGGCTCCTGTATATGCAGGACCCTCCACTGACACTGAATCCCTCTCTTAAAGAAATGCAAATTTAAGTAACAATGAGATGCTTTTCACCTATTCAACAGACAGAGATGATAAAGATAATTGCTAGAGTTGGCTTAGCCATTTTTCTGTAAAGGGCCAGATAGTAAAAATATTCTTGGCTTTGTAGGCCATACGGTCTGACAATTACTCAGCTCTGCCATGAAAGAGAAAAAGTGGCCTTAGACTGCTGAGCATGCCTGTGTTCCAATAAAGCTTTATTTTATTGGATTTAGCCTGAGACTATACTTTATTCGTCTCTGGTCTAGGGTAGCAAGAGGCCAGCCTCTTAGACTTCATTGACAGGGGTGTGAATTGAGAGATGATTCTGGGTGCTCAGTTGGATGGGAACCAAAGCTTGGGCTCAGCACTCCAACGCTTTGTCAATTATCTGAAAGAAATAATTGCCCAGAGGAAACCGTACAAAAACATTCATTATAGTATTGTGCTAAAAGCAAAGCATTAGAAACATCCTAAATGTCAATCTACACTTTACGTACAAAAACATTCATTATAGTATTGTGCTAAAAGCAAAGCATTAGAAACATCCTAAATGTTTTTTTTTACAAGGAATCGCTGGAATAAATGACAGTATATCTGCATAATGAAATACTAGGCAACCATCAAAAAGAGTACTGTCAATCTACACTTTATATATATATATATTTGCATACATTAAGTGTAACAACACAGTGTGGGACAGTACATATAGTATGATCTCAGTTATGTGAGAGTAATCCATGTTTATTTATGCCTAAATAGGTTTAGAAGGACATACGTAACCTATTAAGAGTGGTTGTCTCTTATTTTAACTTTGCAAAGAAATATACTATTTTTACAATCAGAAATAAAGTTTCCATCTTGGAGATAAAAACCCTAAATTGTGTCATTCTCCCTTAGTGCCTGATTACCTGCTATCTCCTCCCTGTCTCATTACCTCTTTTTCCTACCCCAGTGTTGACTTAGTGACACTTAGCCTCTAGCCTAGCATCAACCTGAATTCCTCATCTACCTTCCTCCGTACCAGGCCCCTCTAGAACCTGCTCACGGCTCCTTCTCACCTCCCTTAACCTTCCTCCTTTTTTAATTGGGTGTGCTGTTGTCAGCTACGCTACTAGCAAACACTCATGTAGCCCTATGGTGTACCAGGCACCGTGTTAACTCATTTACTGCTCCCAGCAGCTCTGTGAGGGAGGTGCTGTTATTATCCACACTTTACAGGTGAGGAAACTGAGGCACAGAGAGGCTGAGTAATCCGCCCAAGGTCCCACAGCTGGGATGTGGTAGAGCCAGGATTTGAGCCCAGGCAGCCTGGCACCAGGCCCACGCTCTGCACAGCTGGGCTCTGCAGCCTCTGCTTGCCAACTACGTGCCTGGAGCTGGGTTCCCAGCTGCAAAGCACTAATGTGCCCTTAGGCAGGGACCCTGCCCTCTAGGAGAGTCAGCCTGGGTTCAGATAAGACACACACAAAGCAGAGGCCAAGAGAATGAGGTGTAAAAACAGTGCTCCCCAGACCAGAGGGAAGGGAGCCGCTGTGGTGTTGAGAGGAGAGGGAGGTGGCCAGGGAGGCACCTAAGAGAAGTGTCCCTGAGCTCGTGCAGTGCCGGAGGCTGTGTTGGTCCACTTCTGTCGCTTATAACAGAAACACCAGAAACAGTAATTTGTAGGGAAACAGTACTTATTGCTTGCAGTTTCAGACGCTGGGAGGTCCAAAGTCCAGGGAACATACCTGGTGAGGGTTTTGTCCTGGTGGTGACTACAGTATCACATGGTGAATATGGCAGGAGTAAGAGAGAGAGCTAACTCCTCACCTCTTCTGCTTTTTTTTTTTTTTTTGTCTTTTTCGTGACCGGTAAGGGGATCGCACCCCTTGGTGTGGTGTCGCCCGCCCCGCGCTCAGCCAGTGAGCGCACCGGCCATTCCTATATAGGATCCGAACCCCCTGTGGGAGCGTTGCTTTGCTCCCAGCGCCGCACTCGCCCGAGTGCGCCATGGGGCCGGCCCCCTCTTCTGCTTTTTTTTTTTTTTGTCTTTTTCGTGACCGGTAAGGGGATCGCACCCCTTGGTGTGGTGTCGCCCGCCCCGCGCTCAGCCAGTGAGCGCACCGGCCATTCCTATATAGGATCCGAACCCCCTGTGGGAGCGTTGCTTTGCTCCCAGCGCCGCACTCGCCCGAGTGCGCCATGGGGCCGGCCCCCTCTTCTGCTTTTTTTTTTTTTTGTCTTTTTCGTGACCGGTAAGGGGATCGCACCCCTTGGTGTGGTGTCGCCCGCCCCGCGCTCAGCCAGTGAGCGCACCGGCCATTCCTATATAGGATCCGAACCCACTGTGGGAGCGTTGCTTTGCTCCCAGCGCCGCACTCTCCCGAGTGCGCCATGGGGCCGGCCCCCTCTTCTGCTTTTAAAGCTCTCAGAACCATGCCCATGACCACCATTAAATCATCAACTCATTAATGCATTCACTAGGCAGGGTCCTCACAATCTAATCACCTCCTCAAGGCCCCACCTTTCAATGATCATAATAGGACTTCCCAGCCTGTTAACACTGTCACGGTGGAGGTTAAGTTTCTAATACATGGACTTTGGGGGACACCATTCAGTCCACAGCAGAGGGGAAAGACCTGGAGGCTGTGACGGGGACGAGCCACCCGCCGTCTCCCCTAGCTGTAGTCCTCCAGACCGGTCTTTCCTCTTTCAGAGCCCAAGATGAATATCAGGACCATCTGCCTGGCTGTCCGTGTGGTCAAGAACTCCCTCTCTGACACGCGGCCCAAGGTGACAGGGCAGAGACCCGGAGAGGGATGGCCCTCAGGGGACCCCTGCTGCCCACCCACTCCAGGAGGCCTTTGGTAGAAACCCAGCCTCCTGTCCCATCCCGAGGAGGGCTGGAGGAGGGGAGGCCAGGAAAAACTGCAGTTCTGCTCACGAGACCCTAGCTCTTGCCCAGGACCTGGAGTTTCCAGGTGCTGCCTCCCACCACCACCTGGGATGAAGAGAGGCTGAGCACGGCCAGCTCCAGCTGCAGCCGCTAGTGCTCATGGGCTTTGTGAGGACTTAGTGTGAAAAGTGACTGAGGGAGACACCCTTCCTCCCCCTGCCAACCCAGAAGGCTGAAATCCAGGCTCCAGGGCAGCCACGGCCAACTGGGCCAACTCGGAGTGCAGCTCTGGTTCCAGGGAGGGATGGTGCAGGATAGGGAGGGTTTGCACCGTGGTTTTGAGGAAAGTGGGGGAGGAGATTGGGGTTTGGGCTGAAGACTGAGGCAGAGCTCCCTTCAGTGCTTGTAGGCTGTCGTCTGTGAGTCTGACCACAGTGGGTCCAAGGAGCCCAGGATAGGAGATGGGTTTCCCCCCAAGGCTGCTAAGAAGGAGAAGCCTACATTAGAGGGGAGTCTCCTGGCTCTGAAAGTGAGGGGGAACCCCTGCATGAGGCAGGACATGGTAGACAGAGTGGCCCCTAAGCCCCTACCAGTTCAGAGCACCTCCAATCCCTAGCTGTCTCATGTCACAGGATTAGGTGCTGGATGTCAAGCCCTGGCCCTGGAGCTCCTCAACCCCAGCATGTCTGTGCCTTGTCCCCTCAGGTAAGAATGGCTATTCTCCGCATCATTGGCCAGTTGGCTCTGTCTGGCTATCAAGACAGGATCAAAGGTTGGGGGTTGAAGTACGTGTCTGTGCAGCTGACCTTATCCACCTACAAATTGGTGAGTGGCCCCAACATGCAGACTGAGAGATGCTGGACTTTGGAAATGGTTTCCAAAGCGTTGAGGACAGAATGTCACTCGGTGTACCTGTGTTTGAGCCTGTGTATGTGTTCGTGACGTAGGTGCATAGACACATGGTTAACCTGCAGGTGAAGATATGTGCAGCCCTACAAGCAGCAGACACACACACAGCTCTGAGCACACTGGGGACCCAGCATTTGGGCCTGATGCCCCCTGAGGAGTGAGACCACACCCAAGACCACAGCAAGACCCTGAGAGCCCAAAAGCAGGGACTCTCCCCTTCTGCCTTCCAGACAAATCGCCGGGAGAGCTTTTATCAGAGGGACTTGGAGGAGAAGATGGTCCACAAGGTCACCATGGACACCGTGAGGATCATAACCTCTTCCATCAGTGGGATGACCAAAGTAAGTGAGTCCCCCCCTGCCTGCCCAGAGGGCTGCCATGCAGGAGTGATGGTTCCTGTGTGCACCGCAGGGCTGGGAGAGGAACCAAGCATGCCCAGAATTCTGTACCTTTGCTTCTTCCATTCCCGCTGCCTGGGGTGCCTGGGGGCCTCTTCCAATCATCTGAGCTCTTGTCCTTCAAGACCCAGTTCCAGAGTCTGGTGCTTGATGGGAACCTTCTCTTCATCTCTGTAACCCTGGATGCTAGGGCAGTGCCTGGCACACAGTAGGTCTCAATACATATTGCTTGACTTATTGCCTGAAATGTATCCACTACTTTAAAGCCCCTTCAGTTCAGATGTGTGTGTGTGTGAGTGTGTAAAGAGGATAGTCACGGTTTAAGACCACAAACATTCAGTGAGTTTATACTGTGTGAAAGACACGAGAGTGTTCACCAGAAGGACTCAGCACAATCCCAAGGAGTTCACAGGCTATGAGAGAAACAAATACATATGTGTCAACTTTTAATTGCAGTAAGGTGTGACATAGCAATAAGATAGGAAAAATTTACCACGAGAGCATCAGGGATGGAATGATCGTCTATTAAGTGCGGTCATGGGTTAGATGCTCCACGTTCAGTGGCAGCTTATTTTAATTGCAGAAATCGTGAGAATAATAATCATAGCTACAGTCCATAGAGCAACCACATAGCAGGTACTGTACTGGGTGTGCGACATGTACAATTTCATTTAATTATCCCAACAACCCTATGACATAGGCTCTCTTATTATTACTCTGATTTTGTAGATAATTAAAGCTCGGAGGGACTCACTAATTGACTCAAGGACTCACAGCTGGTAAACAGTAGAATCAGGATTAAAATGCTCTTTCCAGCTCACCATGCAGCCTCCCTGGGGGAACCCAGGAGCTGGAGGATTCTAGTACTGGTGGCTGGAACAGGTCAGCTACTGCACTTGTTAGTTGGTAGCACAAGAGCCTCACCTTAAACTCTGAAGGGCTAGAGACACAGGTCCAAGAATCTGTATCAGGCAGTCTTCTCCAGAGAAACAGGACCAAGAGAAGGTATGTACAGTCTGATTTATTTCAAGGAATTGACTCATGCAATTGTGGGGCTGGCAAGTCTGAAGCCTGCAGGGCAGACAGGCAGGCTGAGGACCTCTGGCAGGAGTTGGTGGTGCAGAGTTGAGGCTGAATATCTTCTTTCTCAGGGAAATCTGGTTTTTGCTCTTAAGGCCTTTCAATTGACTAGGTGAGACTCACCCATGTTATAGAGGATAATATCCTTTATGGATTAGGGACTTTCATGCCATCCACAAGACACCTTCATAGAAACTCCTAGATTAATGACTGGGTACTTGCCTAGTCAAGGTGACACATACACTTGACCATCACAGCTGGCCAGTGCAGCTGGGTCACTGGCCCAGTGTGCACAGCTGGAGGATTTAGGATCAGAGGGAAGGCCCTGGGTGAAGAGGATGTAATGGGTGTGGGGTTAAGCAGGTCACAAGCCTGGCACAGCAGGGACTGGCTGACTCTCTCCACACTGGGGAGGAGGGGGGTGTGCCACTTAGATGCCCCAACCAAGATGGGGGCTGGCAGTAGAGCCAGTTCAGGGCTGAGACTGTCAGGGGGTCAGGGGACAGCTCTGGGGAGGTGGGGGTGGGGCCGACATGGGCTGGATGGCCACAGGATGCTCCTGCTAATCCTGGGTCCTCTTTCTCTGCCCCCACCCCTGCCACAGGACTTTTGGGTGCGGCTCCTGTGCTACATCATGGAGACGGACTACGTGGAGGCCTTGACTCCCATCTGCATCAGCCTCACAAACCTGGCTGAACACCAGCTCCACGGCAAGGACATGGAGGCCAGCATGGCTGGCAAGAGCAGACATGGTGGGCAGCCTCCCCACAACCGCTGGGGGGTCAGGCAGGTGGGCGGTTCCTTGTCTCAGAACGTTCACTCTCGCACTTCCTTCACACACAACCCCCTCTTCCTGGAGGCATCTGGAATCCTAAAAGCCAGGTCCAACCTGGTAGCTCACTCCTCATGTCCCCATCCCCCCAGCTGAGACCCCCCAGCCCAGATCCCACCCTGCAGAGATCCTGGCCCAGCCTCTCTCCAGGTGAGCCCTTCAGGGCCTCTGCTCTGTCTGGCCTCTCTGAGCCAACTAGAGGAACTAGAGCTGTGCCATCCAAGTCCTTGCAAACCACCCCATCGTGGTCCACCTGGAGCAGGCACTGTTACCACCAGGCTCTCAAAAAAGCAACTATGCCCACCTACCGTGGCTCACCCTGTCCCCTCCCTCCCACCTCTGTTTCCAAGGGACCGCTCTCACTGCCCGGGGCTTCACAGGGATGGGCATGGCTGGTGACGTAGGTGATTTAGGAAGGCTTTTAAGATCCAGGATGGCCTGCTCTCTGGGTCTGATCTGAGCGAGCCAGCTGGGTGACCCCCCGAGGCCTTCCTCCTGCTCCTATCACCCCGACTCTGGGCTGAGTCCTCTCCTGGGCCCCCACACCTGCACCCTCTCAGCAGGCCTGGCTCCTCCTTTGCCCATTCGTACAAGTGCTGTGGGTTTGCTTTTCACAGGCTCATTGGCTCCCACAGCCTGATGAGAGACAGGAGAGGGTGGGAGGGCCAAGGTTCACAGCAGGAGACAAACGTTGTCATGGCGAGTCCCAGTCTCCACTACACAGCGCCATTGTCTGAAAACAGCACCTTCTAAACTGCAGGCCATGGGCACACTTCTCCCCCGTTTCCAGGATCAGTCATATGATGATGTTCTTTATAGAAAAGTCCCCTGCACTGGCCCTTCCTCATCTGGGGAGCAGTGGGGTCATGCTGGATGAAGTCCCCTTTGGGACATGAGGGTGCTGGGCACATCCTGGTCTGGGCCAGGCGGCCTCAGCTGGGGCTGCATCTCCTTCTTCCTCAGTGGACCTGCCTGCACCTCAGAAGCTGCTGGCCCGTCTGTTGGTGAGTGGCTCCCCCACACAATGTCCTGGCCTGGGTGGCCGTGGCCTGTGCACCTCTCCCTTGGGTCCTATTCCCAGGGCCCCAGAGGGAGGAGGAAGCCAGGGGGTAACGCGGGAGCTGGACGCTCTGCAGGACAGAGTGTTCGGTGCCTGTCGTCGCTCTCAGCTAGAGGCAGGGGCAGTGTGCCTGGATGGCCGAGACCTGGCCTGGACCTGCTCCCAGATTCTTCTGCCCAGTGCATCCCTGGGACACTGCCAATGGCCTGCTTGCCCCTCGGGCAGGGACTCTCTGTCCCTGGAGATCCTCGTGCTCTGTTGAAAGCCACACGTGTTGTCCAACTCCTCCCTTTATAAGTGAGGACAGTGAGCTCCAGGATGGGTACGAGCTGCCCAGGCTCTGCTCCACTGGAGTCTTGGGCCCCCCAGGTGCTGATGTCGTCACCCTACAAGGGGGAGGGCCGTGGCATAGCCATGCTCAACCTCCTGAGGATCCTGAGCCAGAGCATCGCGCCCTCCATGGCCGCCACGTGGGAGCTGGAGATCCCGCTGCTGGTCCACTACCTGGAAGGTGAGGTGCCCGGCACCCCCCAAGAGACCCTCCAGTGTGTGCATGTGCTGGGGCAGGTGGTGGGGGCGATGCCATGTGCGGGGCTCATCCACAGAAAGGCTCGGGTGACAGGCTAAGGAATCCGACCCAGGTCACAGCACGTGTGACCAGGCATGTTCCTACAGAGCACACCGAGTTCACCTGGGATCAGAAGGCCTGGGAAGACAAGCTCATTCAGGTACAGGGGGGACCAGTGTGCAGAGGCTTGGATGGGGGAGAAGAGGGGGACAGATGGGAGGGCACCTGGTGGGGTTAGCGTGGCCAGGAGCCCCTAAAAGACACGTTCTCCTTCTGTCAGAGAAGCCTTGACAGGTGTGCAGTCCATAGCTGTGTCTACCAGCCGGGGAAACTGAGAGAGCCCTCCACCCAGGGAGCCAAGTGCCCGGGAGAGCAGCAGGGCGGCACCCCTCCCACCAGCCCCAGACCCACAGAACGTTAGCACTGCATGGGGGTTCTGTGGACTGAGTGATCTAGAGATTTGGGGAAGGGGGGCCACAGAGGCTGAGTCACTACCCAAGGTCACACAGCATTCCCTGAGCCCAGGTGAGATCAGGGCTGGGGGACCCTTGGCCCTGCCCACCACTGTCTTCCGCCTCCCCAGTTTCTTAGAAACTCCCTCAAGAAGACCCGGGGGTCCAACTGGAGTCTGCGCCTGAGCAAAGAGCTGAACAACCAGATTGAGAGCTTCGACAGCCCCTCCCTGGAGAAGGTTTGTCCCCACAGGGACAGGGCAGTTTGGACAGAAAGGGGACTCTGAGGAGGGTGCTGTGTATAGGGTCTTGGGAGGAGAGGTGGATGGTCTAGACCAGTGATTTTCTTAGGTTTTTTATTTTTGTGTGTGTGTGTTTTTAGGGAGGGTGTTTCTTTAGTTTTGTTTTTCTTTAAGAAACTGCTTTGTTGAAGCTGGGGATCTCTTCTCCAGCCCCCAGCTTCCCCTCCTTCCCACCTCCCCCCCACCTGAAGTGGGCTGGTAGCAAGCAGTATTTGTCAGGCAAGGACTGAGATGCTGAACAGGTCTGGTAAATAGTGAAGAATCGGGACGACACCGAACCACAGGAGGCTGAGCGAGTTGCCAGTTTGTAGCTTTGCAGTGAAGATTAGACCCAGAGGGGGAAAAAAGGCCCAGGAAAAAAAGAGTGGGCAAGCCGGGGTTCGGAGCTGGACTCCCCACTTCTGGGGCAGCCTGCCTCCTGCTGCACAGCTGTCCGCACCCCTGCCCCAGGCGGATGGCTGGATACAGCTGCTTGCACCTGACTCCCCAGAGGCCGGTTCACGATCACATGTGTGTATGACTTTGTAAAAAAGATTTTTACAAAAGTATAAAACACAGAATGGGAAAAAACGTTTGCAAATCATGTATCTGATAAGGGAATTGTATTTAGATATGTATAGTGCTTTTACAACTCATTCATAGAGAGACAAATAAGTCAATTAAAATGGGCAAAGAATCTGAATAGACATTTCTTCAAAGAAGACGCACAAATGCCTAGTAAGTAATGAAAAATGTTCGATGTCAATGCCCTTAGGGAAAGACGAATCAAAACCGCAAAGAGATAGCATTTTGTATCCACTAGGATGTGTGATAATCAAAAAGACAGGCAGTGACAAGTGTTGGCAAAGATGTGCTGATACTGGAACCGTCAGACATGGTTGGTACGCAAAGAGATAGCATTTTGTATCCACTAGGATGTGTGATAATCAAAAAGACAGGCAGTGACCAGTGTTGGCAAAGATGTGCTGATACTGGAACCGTCAGACATGGTTGGTAGGAACGTAAAATGGAGCAGCCACTGCAGGAAGCAGTTTGCAGTTCCTGAGAATGTTAAATATGGACTTACCGTATGACCTAGTAATCCACTCCTAGCCGTATTTCAAAAAGTTCATGGAACGATCCTTATTATCTTTAATTCCATCTTTCTACAAACTCTTTGTATATGGTCAGGAGAACTGAAATATGCCCAGGAGAAATAAAAACATGTGTCCACCCAAAAACTTGTACATAAGTGTTCATAGACGTACTATTCATAATAGCCAAAAGGCGGAAACAACCCAGATGTCCATCAACAGGTGAATGGATAAGCAAAATGTGGTAAATTCGTGCAACAGGATATTATTCGGCCATAAACAGAAATGAAGTACTGATACCTGCTACAACAAGGATAAGCCTTAAAAACATTATGCAAAGTGAAAGAAGCCAGATGCAAAGGAACACAAAGGCTCACATATTATATGATTCTATTTATGTTAAGGGTCCAGAATAGGCAAATCCATAGAGAGAGAAAGTAGATCAGTGGTTGCCAGGGGCTGGGGGGATGTGGAGTGACCACAAACAGGTACAAGGTTTCTTTTGGGGGTGATAAAAACCTTCTGAACTTACACAGGATTATGTGTGATCTTCTGAACTCAGACTTCTAAACTTAGATGTCTAAACTTAGACTCTGAATATACCATTGAATTTATACAATTTAAATGGGTGAGTTTTATGGTACGTGAATTATGTCTCAATAAAGATGCTTTTAAAAAATTTTTTACAGGTGTCAACTGAAAATTACATCTGTTCAAATATATACCGTTCATAGTGGAGTATGTAAAGTAATAAACAGCAAAGTATGTTCAACAGATGTCTTCCATTCACTAAACACCCCCCTAGGTGTAAGGTCTTATGAGATGTCAATTTCAGGCCCATTTGAAAGAAAGTTGTGTGTATTATGCAATAAGCAAATGCGTACAATTCAACCATATGACAATAGCTAATCAACCTAAGCAAGATAAATAAATAAATAAATCCATAAATAAATTTGTAAAAAGGGTTTTATTGGCTCAGATAACTTAGAAAAGCATGATTAGATATAGCAGCTTAAGGAACCTCATCAACCTCATCATCTCATCATGTCTCAGGCTGGCATCCTTCAGGTGGGGGCAAGACGGCTGCTGGAAGCCTCCAGATTTATAAGTCCAGTAGACAGAGCCAGTCCTTTCCCAAAATTTCTATGCAAAATCATCATCTTTCCTATGCACAGATAATACCATAAATAAAATATAATGAAAAAATATACCATTTGAAGTAACCACACATTGGGAAGTACATAAGCAAATAAAATATTGAATATGTGCAACATGGAACCGATGTGAAGATTGCAAGAATGTGGGGGTGGGTGCGCAGGGAAACGAAAAGAAAGCCTGAAAAAATGGACACGGTCTCTTTTTCTTGGATGGAAAGTGTCAATGTTGTAAAGGCGTCCATTTTTCTCAAATTAGTCTACAATACAGTTTATGCCCAGTCAAGTTCCTTAAAGGAGTGTTTGTGGAAATTCGACAATTTTACAGAATTTGAAAAAATTATTTCCAGGTTCATCTGAATGAGAAAATGAAATAGAATGCCTAAGAACATATCGAAAAAGAAGCACATTAAGGATGGATTTGTCCTTCCAGAACAGATCAAAGATTTGAGTGTACAAAATAAAATAAAACCATGCAACCGGTGTAAGAATGTGATAATGAATATTTGTATAATCTTAATATTGCATAGGCCTTCATATGCATGAAAAGAAACCAAAAAACAAAGGAAAAGAGATAAATTTACCGACATCAAAATTTCCCGCGTAACAAAACAGAATCACCATGAAGGAAGTCAAAAGGTAAAGGAGACACTGGCGACCATATCACTGAGAGTGACCGGCTGCTTGAGCTCGTGATACGTAATTGTTGAGAATAAGAGCCTCAGACTATGATGGCTTGGTTCTAGATCCTGGTTCTACCACTTCCTGCTTGTTTTCTCATCTGTAAATACAACAATAATACTTATCTTATAGAGTTATTGTGAGGATTAAACAGGTAATACGTGATTGTTCCTGTCAAGTTTCCAAATATATAAACAAAATTCTTACAGATAAAAAAGTAGAAATAGGGAAAAGAATATAGCCAGAAATGAAAAGAATTAACATGGATCACAAGAATCTGGAAAGATGATTGATACGGTTAATAGTCAAAGAGACACATCAAACTGAGAATGTTCCGTCTCTCATTGATAACTGGGAAACTTGACGCTTTTGCATTTCTCGGTGGGAGTGTACACTGGTTCGACTTACGTAGGAGAGGAGTTTGGCCCCCACTGTTAAATGCATGATCTGTCTGCCCTATACAGTCTGACACCCTAGAATTACCTGAGCACTTATTTTAAAAAATATACATAATGCATAGATATCTGCACTTAAAAAAAAAAAAAAAAGTCCAGAGGAATATGTGGCAAATTGTGCATGACAGCGCCCCTGGAGGGTGGGAGTAGCGTGTCCTGAGCTGCTTCCTCCCTTCCTGCCTGTCCAGGGCTTTCTGTACCGGGCTTTGGGCTTCACCTTGGCCACGGGCCTGGAGGCCAACAAGGTGGAGGTGCTGCTGCTGGAGCTGCTGTACAAGACGGACTACAGCAATGACTTTGACCGGGAGGTGAGGGTACCTGCAGTCCCCTCCTGTCCACCAGACCCCTGTGGACCCTCGGGGGACATGTGTGTTCAAGTCCCTACATACGTGTGTGTGTACATGCATGTGTGCCAGTGCACTTGTGTGTGTGTGTGTGTGTGTATGCATACCCGTGTGGGGTGGGGGTGGGGGTCCTCCTCTGCCCCTGCCCCCTGCCCCCTGCCCTTACCCTGGCTGGCTGGGTCTCCCTGCAGGGCGTGATTCTGTGCTTTGGCCTGTGTGCCCGGGGCCAGGTGAAGACAGTGCTGAACGTGCTCCATGACTTTGAGGAGAGGATCCAGGAGTCAGAGCAGTCCTGGCAGATCGGTGCTTGGCGGGTAAGGCACCTTTGCCCCACATCTAGGTCTCCAGGGCCTCAGCACAGTGCTCTTGGCACCAAAGCAGGGCACTTACTAGATCTCAGTAGGAAACTCCTCCTCTGTGTCTCATGTCGCCAAAATGACTGAGATCCGGAGACCTCCTATGACAGAGCTTTTGCTGTTGGGTCATCTAAGGAATACAGGTGGGTCTTTCCAGGCCCCAGATATTGTCAAGGCGTCCTAGCCTCTTGCTACTCATGGTGGTTCCTCAGACCAGCAGCGAAGGCTCCTGGGGTGCTGGTTGGGAAGGCAGAGTCCCATCTGAAGACACTAGTCAGGTAGTGCCGTGTGGCTGCTTTCCTGCTGTGTTAGGAGCTCTGCTTCAGTGAATCGGTGGTGCTGGGATGGAGGGCCTGTAATCCCACTTCGTACAGGTGAAAATACTGAAGTTGTCCAAAGGCCTGCGGCTGGTCAGTGGTGGGCCCGGGTTTGGACCCAGACAGTCCATGGTCCCATCATCTGGAGGCTGTCCCTCCCCGTCACAGGGGATAGTCCCATGGGCTGAGTCCCCAGTGGGAACCATCTGGAGTCACCGAGGCCTGAGGCTTTGTCCTTAACCTTGGTCCCTGCCTTGGGGTCTGGTTGTTTGGATGGAGAGAATCCAGAGGGTCCCAGGCTTCTGCCCCAGCTACTCTGCAAAGCAGGACCTGAGACCTGGATTTCTACTCAGGGCCTGGTGGGGCGTGGGCACCCCTGCTTCCCATCCACAGTGGGTTTGGTGGAGATTGTTCAGAGGGTGTGAGCACCAGGAGGGCAGGGCCGAAGCTGTCAGTTCCTGTGGATCTCCAGCCTCATGAGTGCCTGGCTCGGAGCAGGTGCCCTGCAGGGGGGAGTGTGAAGGAGTGTGCAGGCAGCCTCTGTTTAGGGGAGTCCACACGAGGCTCCTGCTCACAGCTGATGGGTGGTCCTAGCATCTGTCACTCAACCAAAGCTTCCCAGGGGCATGGGCCCTGGTCTGTCTTGCTCTCCAGCACATGCCCAGTGCCTGGCATGTAGTAGGTGCTCAATAAAGATGAGCTGAATGAATGAATAAATGCATGAATAAATGGATGAGCATTCTAGGCATCCAGAAAACATCCAGTGAATCACCTTCAGCAGACGGAACAGCTCCTTTGGTCATGTGGGCACAGACTGTCCCATGTGCAACTGGGGCAGCCCCTGCTCTCCCCAGTGGCTCTGCCCTTCTCCTTGTCCTCACAGAAGGACCACCCCTGGAGGCGGGAGACTGTGAAGAGTGCCCTCATGGTGATGTACAGTTGCGTGGCCTCGTACTGCCACCCCCAGATGCTCCTCAACCACGTGGACAGCCCCATCACTGCTAAGATCATCCACCACTACTCCAGCAGCTGCCAGGTGACCCACATCTGAGACCCAGGCATGCCTTCTTTCAGTGAGGCTGGTGAAGTGTCACCCTCTGTCATTATCTGGACACCCCCATCCCCACCCAGAAGTCCCCCCTGATGTCAGAATTTTAGAAGCTCATTGCCCAAATCTGTGCTGTTCTCTGTACTTTGGGGTCAAGCGGGGGAGGTGGGGGTGGCTCCTCCTCCAAGTGCTGGGTGGGGTGAGTGTGGGTCCCCAGAAGTCACAGGGTGAGCCCCACCTCTCCCAGCCTCTCCCATTCCCTCTGCCTCGCCTCTGGCCCTCCCTGACATGTGACCCAGGCCCTCTAACAGGGGACAAGAAGTGGGGTTGTCTTCAAAGAGATATCAAGGGACTGAGTACTTTCTTGGAATGGCAGGAAAGAGAAAACATGAGAATAAAGTAAAAATTATTTTACTTTTATTTTTAAAAGTCGTGGTAAAATACACATAACATGAAATTTACCATCATAACCGTTTTTAAGTGTGTAGTTCAATGGCATTAAGTACATTCACACTGTTGTGCAAATGTCACCACTATCCACCTCTAGAATTCTTCATCTTGCAAAACTGGAAGTCAGTTTCCATTAAACACTGACTCCTGTTCCCTTCTCCCCCCAGCCGCTGGCACCCACCACTCCATTTTCCATCTCTGTGAATCTGACTACTCCAGGGACCTCATATAAGTGGAATCATACAGTATTTGTCCTTTTTTTTTTTCTTTTAAAGATGACCAGTAAGGGGATCTTAACCCTTGACTTGGTGTTGTCAGCACCACGCTCAGCCAGTGAGCAAACCGGCCATCCCTATATAGGATCCGAACCTGTGGCCTTGGTGTTATCAGTACCATACTGTTCCAAGTGAGCCACGGGCCGGCCCCCAGTATTTGTCCTTTTGTGTCTGGCTCCTTCACTTAGCATAATATCCTCAAGGTTTATCCATGTTGTAAAGGCATATATTATTTTATCTCAATAACTTATTCTGCCTCTCTGGTGACAAAGGGCTCAGTGCCCCGGTCACTGAAGGTACCACTGAGCTGCATTGCTGCCCTCAGGCACAGACGTGGGGAGGCTCAGGGGAGGTGGCATCCCTGCCACATAGCAGATGCCCAGTCAATGTGGCTGCAGGACAGAATGAGGCCGCCGTCTCTCAGCGCTTCTGACGTTAGACCCCTTCTTCAGAGCAGGGGAAGAGTCCAGGGGCACGGGCTGCGGCGCAGGCTCTTTGCGGGCTCACTCGCAAACGTGCGATCCTTTTCCCTCTTCTGGGCACAGGACATCTGCCTCAAAATGGCCTTCATGAAGAGTGTTGTGCAGGTCACCAGTGCCATCAAAAACGTTAAGGACTTGGAGGACTTTCAATTTGCCCAAAAGACGACTCTTACTGGTATTATAATGGTAAGCCAAGGGGGGGCCTCCGGGGTCCTGGATGGTTTTGGGGTCTAAAGGTCAGAGGTTTCCAGGGTTCCTGAGCACGTATGAGGGACGAAGGGGCTGCGGGGGAGCCCCTCTCTCAGTTCTGCTTTGGTTTAACTGTAGGAGTTCTAAGAACGATTTTTGTACCCGATAAAGGGTTCCACAGCCAGGATACAGTTTGGAAAACAGGATGGAAGAGCCTGGCCACCCTGGGTCCTGCGGTGCCCAGAGGTGGCTGGTTCAGGGGCCATAGACGGAGGTCCACTGGGTCAGCCCAGCTGCAGCCTCTGTGTTTCTCCACGGAGAGACTTAGGAGATAGTGAGCTTCCAGAAACAGGACTTTTGTAAGATGTAGAAAATGTCAACTGTCCAAAGGATGATGGAGCTTGTGGGACAGCCAGTGTCCTTCATCCCCAGACCTCTCCAGCCCCATGTCACTGCTAATGCCTCATTCCCCGGAAACTGCTCGAGCTGGGCTGGAAGCAGGCCCTGAGGGAAGTGGGATGTGGGTGGAACAGGAGGCACCAAGAGGCAGTGAACGTTTACTTGGCTCTGCCCCGAGCTGGGAGCTACATACTTGTAATGTCACGCCAGCCTGGCCCCGTGAAATAGGCCCCGAGTCTGGTTTTACAGAGAAGGCGGTTGGGCTCAGGCAGGGGAAGTGTTTGCCCAAGGACACACAGGAGCCAAGCGTGGCCCTGAGCCAGGAGCCCATCCTGGCCCCACTCCTTCCACCACATTGCGCTGTCCCCCCTAAGATGCCAAGGGCCGGATGACCCTGAAAACAGCGGAGAGGTAAGGATGTAAGATATAAGGCATCAGGTCTTCCTTGTACTAACACTGGGGTGAGCTGCTGCCATCCCCTCTACTGTTGGCCAAAAGCCACCGCTCCTTGCCTTGCTGGACCTCTGGGTGGCCGGGGCTCACCCCTGCTCGTGTCGGGCAGGCGATCATCAAGGCAGAGCCTGCGGACCACCTGCTTTCTCCTGTGCGTACCATGGCGATGGAAGCCCTCTTGCACCTGAGGTGAGCCGGGGCCCTGCCCACTTCCCCAGGGCCCCCGGCATGGGGCAAAGTCTGAGACCACCCCTGGGCACTCCTTCACTTCCTTTGCCCTTCACTGCCTCAGTGGCAGGGGTTTTGGGTGGCAGCAACCCTGGCAACGGGCCAGCCTGGAGGATGGGGGTCTGTTTCAGCCAGCTGCTTTCCATAATTCTCAGCAATATTGCAAGTTGGGGGCTTCTCCTTGGAGTGGGAGGTGAATGACAGGTGGGTGGGCTGTTCTTTGGTCGATTAGGGGATGTTTTGAGAAAGAAATCACAACGGTGACACTGGAAAGCATCACAGGGAGATGGCATCCTTCCAGATGAGTTGAACTCAGCCAAGAAGTAGAGCACTGTTTACTGATATGGTTGATACGAAATGACGTCAAACCTGAGGCTCGCCTTCCTGGAGTCGTCCATCTACTAGATGACAGGGGAAAGGGAGAGAAAATTATGGATTTATACAATTAGCCTTTGAGGTGGTTGGGTCATCTTTAGGAAACTTCGCCTATAGGAAAGGTTCATTACTTAGGCTCATAGCAAAACCACCTGTTGGCTGTAAGAGGCAGCACATAGGCAGATTTTAAATGAAATTCACTGGTCTCAACTGAGCTCACATTCGGTTACGTGTTGGATACTAAAGGGACACAGAGATACATAAGACGTAGTCCCAGCCTCTCGGGGACTTGGGGAAAAGACAAACACATATAAATAGAATTATGGGTCAGAGCAGACTAAGGAAAGTGTTTGCAGGTGAACCAAAAATAAAGACCCCCGAAATGGGGCTTTATGGGGCTTTAATGGGGAAGATGAAACTCAGTATATACAACAGGGGCTATCAGAAGGGTTTGGTGCAGGAGTTGGCATTTGACTTTTGACCTGGGCTTAAACAGAATGACTGGATTTGGATAGGAGTTGGGACCTCCCAGCAGGGTGAAGTACAAGACACCTTCAGGGAGCAGAAGTCCAAAGCCAAAGTAGGATAGCAGCTCTCAACTCCGGGGGCACAGTAGAACCAGTGGTAACTTAACAATACTGACACACTGGCCCCACCCCAGAACATTAAATAAGCATCCCTGAGTCATGGCCCTTGGAGGGGGGGGGGTCCTTAAAAAGCTCTCCAGGTGTTTCTTACATACGCCCAGGCTTGAGAACCATTGAAGAAGGGGATAGAAAGAGAGTGAGCTGGCATGCACCAGTCAGCTCGCTACCACCCTGGAGGGCTTACCAAAACACAGATGGCTGGGGTCCACCCCCAGAGTGTTTGATTCAGTAGGTCTGTGCAGAGTAGGGCCATAGAACTTGCATTGCTAACAAACTCTGAGATGCTGCTGCTGCAGCTGGTCTAGGGATTACACTTTAAAAGGTTCTGGACTAGGACCATCCTGGGAGGGCAGATTCCATGGTTGTGGTGGGGGAGGAAGAGTGGAATGTTTCTGAGCAGGAGACTCACAGGCTTAGAGCCAGCAACAAGTGCGAGAGGTGGCCTTGGACCCCTGAATCTGCCCCTCGATCACAGGCACAGTCACTGGATGGCGTGGCAGAGCACAGCCAGGATGCACCATGGAGACCCCAAGCAGGGAGGCTGACCTGTCCCTCATCCTGGGACAGGCCTCTGTGCCCAGACTGGGTAGGGCGGCGGCAGGGACTCAGCTCCTCAGTGACCAATCCTCTCATCACCACTTCTTTCCCCAGCAAACTGAAGCCTTTCTACTCCATGGAGGAAAACAGTGAACTGATGGATATCAGCATACATGCTGTAATTTCTCTCCAACCCCCAGGAGAGGATAATGAGCCCATGAAGGTAGGTCCTTTGGGCCACCTCATTTCTGGGTCAGAACCTGAAAATTTACAGTAACATGGGCAGAGCCAAGAGTACACCTTCCTGTAACCCCCGTGAGTGGTTAGGGGCAGCAAAGTGTATCAGGCTCTACTGGTAAGTGTAAGGTAATGCTAGCTGCAGTAACAGATAAACCCTGAAGTCTCAGTAGTTTAACAAGGTAAAAGTTTATTTCTCATGCAAGTAATAATGGGGGTGGATATGAAGCTGCTTCATGCAGATATTCAGGAACCCAGGCTGACGGAGGCTCCACCATCTTCAATGAATGACTCCTAAGGTCCCTGTGGGTACTGGGCCTGGACATGGGGGAAGAGAAAACGTAGGGAAAATTTGTGAGCCAATTCTCCCTCCTTTCATTGGTCAGATGCAGTCACATGGCTCTACCTAGGAGCAAGGGATCCTGGGAAATGTAGTCCCTGACTGCATGGCTGTTTCCCAGCCACAGAGCCACAGTGGAGAGGAGAGCAAATCTTTCATGGACAGGTGGCCATCTCTGCCTCAAGGGCCTGGCCCTGACCCTGGATAAGGAGTCAGGAGAACCGGGCTCTAGGAGTTCAGTTTCCTTCTTTCTAAAATAGATTCCTAAAAGGTTGTCTTGTATGTTACATGAAAAGATGGGTGTAAACAACTCAGTCTGAGCAGAAGTTAATAAATGGGCTATCGGACTCTCTCACACCTCTCAACCCTGGCATGGACCCCCATGAGAGGGTGGCTGGGTGGGTCCCTCCTCGCTGCCCAGCTCTCCCTTCTCTTGGCTGTAGACCCTGTATGTGAATGCCCTGAGTGCCCTGGAGCAGCTGCAGGAGGGGCTTATGCAGAGGCAGCTGGACCCCAGGGGCCTGCAGGAGATGGTGCACGTGAGTTGCCCAGCAGAGGGCCAGGAGCAAGGGACGGCCACTCCTCCCAGGTAGCGGGCCTCAAGACCAGACTGTGGGAAGTGGGAGTGCATTAAAAATCATTGTAGTCATTTGATTTTGATAACATTTCAAATTTGCTGAAATGATGCAAGAATAGTATAAAGATACTATTCATCCAGAGTCACAATTCTTAATATTTTGCCACATTTTCTTTCTCTTTCAGTTTCTTTTTCTCTCTCATTCCATACTCGTACATCTTTTGAACCATGGAGAAAGTTAGTTGCATTCATTAAAAACGAGAACATCCTCTTAAGTAACAACAGCACAATGATCAAAACCAGGAAATTGAATTCTGATGTAATGCTATGTTAAAATCTACAGTCCATATTCAACTATCACTAATTGTTCCAATAATGGCCTTTATAGCTATTTTCTCCCCAATCCAGGAGCCAATCCAGATAATGAATTGCATTTAGTTGTTATGTCTCTCTATTCTCCTTTAATCTGGAACAGTTCCTCAATCTTTGTCCTTTCTAACCTTGGCGTTTTTGAGGGATATTGGCTAGTTTTAAAAAATTGGGTTGTTTGCTTTCTTGTTATTGAGCTTTAGAGGTTTTATGTATTCAGGATACTATGTATAGCAGACATGTGATTTGCAACTATTTTCTCCTAGCCTGTGGCTCTTTTCATTAATTGCAGTGTCTTTTGAAGAGCAGATGTTTTCAATTTTGATAAAGGCTAATTTATCTTTTTTTATTTTATTTATCATGCTTTTGGTGTCAAATCTAAGAAATCTTCCTCTAACCTAAGGTCAAAAAGATTTTCTACTAAGTTTTCTTCTAGAAGTTTCAGGTTTTACAGTTAGGTCTATGATACATTTTGTGTTAATTTTTGTATAGTCTAAGGTATGGATCAAAGTTTTATTTTATTTTTACTCTTTTTGCATAACCAATTGTTTCAGCACCATTTGTTGGAAAGACTATCCTTTCACCACTGAATTACCTTTGCACCTTTGTTGAAAGGTGACCATGTATGTGTGGGTCTATTTCTGGATGTTTATTCTGCTCCACTGAGGTGTTTATCTGTCTTTACACCAGTGCCACCCTGTCTTGATTACTGAAATGTTATAATAAATCTTGAAATCAGCAGATTTTAAGTCCGTGGACTTTGTTCTTTTTTTTTTCTTTTACTGTAGCCCACAAATTTTGATATATTGTGTTCTAATTTTATTTCAATTCAAAATACATTTTAATTTCCCTTTTGATTTCTTCTTTGACCTGTAGTTTATTTAGAAATTTACAAATATTTGGGATTTTCCAAATCTTTCTGGTCTGGATTTCTAATTTAACTCCATTATTGTCTGAGGACATACTTTTAATATTTTAAATCCTTTTAAGTTGATTGAGACTTGTTTAGTGGCCCAGATATGGTCTATCTTGGTAAATATTCCATGTGCACTTGAAAAATATTCTGCTGTTGTTGAGTGGAGTGTTTCTAAATGTCAATGAGGCCGTTGGTTGGTAGTGTTGTTCCAGTTTTCTATATCCTTTCTGATGCTCTGTCTTCTTGTTCTATCAATTATTGAGAAAAATGTACTGAAATCTCTGACTATCAGTGTGGATTTGTTTATTTCTCCTTTCAGGTTTATTAGTTTTTGCTTTGTGTATTATTTAGCTATGTTATTAGGTGCATAAACGTTTACGACTATTATGTCCTCTTGACCCTTTATCATGATGACATGACCCTGTTTATCCATAGTAATAGTCTTTGCTCTGAAATGAACTTTAATATTAGAATGGAGTGCAGGGCGGGCTGTGCTCCCAGCCTTTCATCTGCAGGCAGACATTTGGAGCCAGGACAAACACAACAGCCAAGCACCATCCTGGTGAGGATGCTGGGGTTGCTCTCTCCCTGCCCACAGACTCCTCTCCCTTTATGGAGGGGCCTGGGAAGAAAACCAGAAGTGTCTAGAACCACATAGAAGCATTGAAAGTCAGAGTCTGAGAGGGAGGGACAAGGATGGCAAAAGCTGGCCAGGAGGGCTCACCCCAAGATTCTAATGCCCAATTCTGTGTTCTGGACTCTACCTACAGCTTCTGGAAAAGTGGATCTTGTCAGAGAAAGAAGGGGAGCGGGAGAAAGCTATGAACCTCCACCTCCACCTCATGCAAATCTACGGCCAAAGCATCGGTGTCTGTGTGAGTCCAGGAGAGCCAGCCTCCGGCCTGTCTCTCTGACAGTCCAAAGAGAAATGCCTGTTTCTATTTGGGAGAAGAGGGAACACATTTGCAGTCAAGTTCTGCCCTGAAGAGTTCCCTGGGGAGAGGCTGCCATGAGTTAGCGCTGGGGCTCTGGGGTGGGTGAAGGAGGGAGAGGATGGGACGGGGCTTGGCGTGGATCCAGCTCGTGTGGGGCCCGAGGCTCGTGCAGGGCTGAGGCCCCCTTTAAGAAAAAGGATACTCAATGATGAATACTACGTTGGTTAGGAAAGTGAATATTTACTTAGAATGAGAAAATAACTCACTACAAAATCACAAATTTTACAAACCTCCACAAGTACCCCAAACATCAGGAAATCTAAAACCATGTAGTGTTTTTATTGATTAACCATCTGACACAGCTTGAGGAGACCTCTTTTCCTATATTTGCTGGCTCTTTGGTTCCCGTGTGGTCACGGATGGCTGTGGGCAGGTGGACGATGTGTCCCGGGCTGGGGTGCAGGGCAGGCCTCAGGTCTTGGGGTGGTGCATGGTGGGAACAGGTGTGCAGGACCCTGGTCCTGGAGCACCTGCATGGAGGTGGGATGAGGGCTCAGCATCACAAGCCAGGCTAAGGGCAGTGCTAGGTAATGCTGGAGGCCAGGCGCTGAGAAGAGTCGCCTGGATGCTCTGATCTGATTCTCACAGCATTCCCCGCAGGAGGAGGCACCGTTATCACTCCATTTTCCTGACAGGTAACATGAGGGACTGAGAGGCAAGGTACTCAGCTCGGGTCACTTAGCTAGTGAACATGGCAGTCCCGATTTGAGCCCAGGGCTCAGTTACAGGAACAAGGCAGGTGCCCAGACACAGAACCTGGGCCCGAATTCAGAGTGGTGCAGACTCAGGGCAAAAACACCTGACTTGGGGCAAGTCCTCAACTGGAACCCCTTGGATACTGGCTGATGGTGTCCAGGGCCCAGCTGTGGGGCTGAGACGTGATGCTTGCATGCAAGGCAGATGGTAGCAGTCTCCCCCTCCCTGGTTGGGGTGTTTTCAGCTCAGGTTTCGCCCTCTCTAGTCACCCTACGCTGCCCCTGGGCAGCCCGAGGTGTGCATGAGAAGGCAGAGGGTGTGAGCCTTGCGGTCTCCTGTCCTGCAGATCCCCCTGAAGCTGGGGCAGTTTGGCACGCTGGTTGGACTCATCGCCCCATGCACCTGTGACACTCACCGAAGAACCCGCATGGCATCAACTAATGTCCTGTCCAACCTGCTAGATCTTCATGGTATGGAGAAGGCAGGACACGAGGGCCAGCCTCTTCAGGCTGGGAAGGAGGGCTGGCACCAGAGGTGTCAGCTGCGGGTCTGCCCTGGAGGGAAGCATAGCTTCTCTGTGCAGGCAGCTGTGGAGACACACAAGGGTGACCAGCAGGAGAGTCGGGGCAGGGGTGGGGGACAGCTCACCAAGAGGTCATGGAAACTTCTGGAAAGAGAGGCTCTTAGTTCACATTGATTCACTGAGGGCATATGCTGGGCACTGAGGGCCCTACTGGGATAAGGTCAGCTTGCAGATACCAAAGACTTGGCAGAACTGGCCAGAGCTGAGCTCAGGGGAGAGCAGGCATGTGAGCTGTGTGCAGAGGTGGTGCAGGCAGAGGTCCCCACACAGCAGGAACAGTGAGAGCAAAGACAAGAAGGGATGGGGTGTCTGGATGCTGGAGGGTGGCGCAGGCCCCCAGAGTCGGAGCAGAAGCTGATCATGAAATGGCCGAGGCCAGGCTCTGTGTCCTTGCTGGTCATTTCTGAAATTGTGTTCCCAACAGCAACCCAGACCTGCTCCTTATGGGACATTACCAAGGAGAAGGAGCTGGAGAAATGTAAGGAGGACCTCTGGGGAATGGACGTGGAGCAGATTTTCTGTGTGTCATCCAGAATGGCCAAGGTGATGAGAGGGAAGCCCGGGTGGACTGCTGGACTGGTGTCGGGGTGCCTGGGCCATCTCCTGCGGTGGGGCCTTCCTCGGCTGGCCACGCAGCCCACTTCTCTAGGGGCTGCAGCTTCCATGGCCTTTGGTCCAGCTGACACCATCTGTACTGAAATGGCCTACAGTGTGTCAGGTTCCCCCTGGGCTCTCTGGCACACAGTAGATGCTTAGCATTCCCTGGCTGTCTTCTCCTCATCCCACTGAGCGTGGAGGGGACTGCAGGAACCATCCAGATGGGCCCTGCACACAGGCGTTGGACATGGGCAGGCCGATGGTGTGCTAATGGGTGGATGTCTCAGAGCCACTTAAATGGGGCTTGGGACTTCAGAAGGGAGGGGTCACTTCTGTCCCAGAGGCAGAGGTGGCTTTCTGGAGCAAGGGTGGCCTGCACAGTGGCAGGACCAGGTTGGAGGGCATCAGGGCTCAGGACACCCAGGCTACAAGGCAGCAGAGTGAGGACGGGGCGAGTTTGGGGTTTGGGAAGGGAGGGGGCAGGCGATGAGGAGTGGCAGTGAGTGGGTACATTCCGGAAAGCAGAACGGGCCTTTGGAGTAGGGGAGTGATGTTCCGAGCAGACCCGTGGCGGGGACAGCCTCAGGCTGGGCAGGGCCCGGGAGGAGACCATGCCATGGTCTGAGAGAGGATGTGGGGCCCAGGCTGGGCCATGAGAGGGGGCGGGGGGAGGGGGCATCAGTGGCTACAGGAGGACAGGGGGGTTGGCCTGGGACTTGGTTTGGGGACCTGAGGTTCGGCCTACTCTGTTCCTAGGTGGTCTGCATGGAGTTCAATTGCGACGAAGTGGTCTCGCTCATCCAGAAACTCTGCGAGAACATTGGGGCCATGAACCTGCAGCACGACAAGGCCTCTGTCACCTGGATAGGCACCTTCCTCCAGATGCGGGTCAAGGAGCTGGAGGACAAGGTGGCAGAGCCGTGGCAGGGAGCAGGGCTGGGGCTGCCCGGTGCACCCAGATGCAAGGGACCAGACAAGGGCCCCACCTGCACCCGCTGATATTTCCTCCCCCAAACTCCTGCTTGCTGTCGAGCAACCTGGTCAGTGAGTGGATGGTGGACTAGGCCTGAGGCTCTCTCTCCCAGAGGGCACCACCTCCCACCCCAAAAACCCAGTAAAATGAGAAGTGTGGGGAGGGTGCTGGCAGTTTAATCCGCCCATTGTCCAACTGGCAAGAGTCCCTGGAGGAGGGGTGTCCCATGGGGCCCAGGCTGCCCCAGTGATGCCCCACCCCCTCCCCAGGTGGCCGAGATCCTGGGTGCCATCCTGGTACACCTGCCGGTGGTGGATCACCTGGAGGTGCGGCGTCTCCTCATTGAAGGTGTCCTGCTGCTGGCACACTACCACCAGGAGACAGTCCTCACATCACTCCTGAGGCAGCCCCTGCCCATGGAGAGGTGCGTGCCCTGGAGGAGGGGCTGTGGTCCCCTGTGCAGTTCAGACCAGGCCCAACTCACCAGCTGACATCCTGGATGCTCGGGGCCTTGGGCAGTACCTGTCCCACCCTGAGTGGGTCAGAACCCTCTCTGTGCACCTCCCATAGGAGTCCCAGCCCGTGATGCAGCACTGATCCAGTGCCCAGACTTCTCATGTAGCTTCGTCACATGGAGCTGGGATCTGGATACCGCAGCTCCTCACATGTCCTGGTTGTCGCTCTGGGACAGTGACCATGGAGCCCAGTGTCTCCCCATGGCAGCCCTTTCCTTCCCTGTGGGAACAGAACTCTGGGAGGATAAGCCAAAGGACGTGGCTCCCAAGACCTGAGCAAACCTCTGGAGATGCTCCAGTCTGTCCCTATTTCTTTTGACATGTGGCCTGAGAGGGGAAGCACTTGTTCAGGTCCCCAAGGGATGAAATGGCCCAACCTCCAGCCTGGCAGGTGGCCATGAGTAAGCAGAGCAGAGAGCAGCCCCTCCTTCCCGGTGTCATCTCTGCAAATAGCACTACCTCCTGTGTGTGGCAGAGTCTCACCAAATGTGGGAACGTGCTTGAGGAGGCTTCGGGATTCACGTGGGGAGGGCCTGGAAGGAGGTGGGCAGTCATCCCCAGAGCAGCTGGACCTGGGCTGGGGCAGTGAGATGGGGCGGATGTTGCACTAGGGGGCTGTGAACAGAGAGAAACGCTTCACACACAGGCCTGGGATCCGGGGCCGGGGGGCTGACCCACAGGAAGGGCAGGCGTGGCTCCCCGTGGGGCTGCTTCTCGGGAGGGCAACCCTGCCATGGGTCTAGGTGGGAGGACAGTGCAGATTTTGTGATTTAATGAGGGTTAGTGGCTCTTGGGGCAGCGCTGGGCAGGGGTGGGGGGCAGTGTTTGGTGCAGCCCTGTCAGGGCAGACCTGGGCCGGGCTGGCCTTCTTGGTGGCCATGCCACGCTGGCTTTCACTTAGCTCACCAGCATCTATATTGGTTAGCTATCACTGCGTAACAAATTACCAGCAGCTTAGAAGCTCAGAACAGCACCCTGTGTTCTCTCTCAGTTCCTGTGGGTCAGGAGTCTGGGTGGGGCTTAGCTGGGCCCTCTGCTCAGGGTCTCACAAGGCTGCGATCGAGGTGATGGCCGGCTGCATTCCATAGCTGGGTCGTCTTCCAAGCTCACGTGGTTGTTGGTAGAATCAAGTTTCTTGCTGTTGTAGGACTGAGGTCCCAGCTTTCTCATTTCCTTACAGCCCTGTGGCCTTTTTACACACGGTGCTAATGAGTGTTCTGTGTCCACCTCTGCATTTGATCCCTATCATGAGGCCCTGACCATGTCTCCTCCACCCCAAACTTGGGCGTTTGGTCTTGTGGACTCAGATAGGCAGTTTGCAGGTCTCTTCGTTCAATTAACCTTATTAGACTTGTTGCTTTAGCCTTTGAGAACCTACCAGATTCCCACCTCTGTACGTCTATCCCGGGCACATTAAATCACTATACTGGGGCACTTTTCTTCTTGGCAGGGCCATGGGCTTAGACTTGGACTTTGGGATCAGGAAGTCCATTTCCAATTACAGTTTGGCAGGTTACCTAAGCTCCGCAAACCTGAGTTTCCTTTTCTGTAGAATATGGAGATAAAAATATCTTCTTCAACGGTGTGTTGGGAGGAGTAGGTGGTATGATATCAGCAAGCTGCCTAGTAGTGGAGCCAGGGCTTCCCGACGGGCTGTGTCCTGGGCAGAGCTTGGTGGCTCAGTGTGGGGTCAGAACCTCTGGTGGCTCATTCAACCTCCCTAGATTCAGCCCCCAGAGTTCAACCCATACTTAGGGGGCACCCTTGGATTCTTAGCTGCCAGGGCACATGCAGGAAACCCACAGTCCTTGTGCCCTATCTTTGGCCAGACACCTGATGGAGGTGTGGCTGGCAGTGTCGGAGAACGTGCCTTTTGCCCAGACCATGCTCCATAGCCTGATGGGCCGGCTGCAGTCACGGTTCACTCCCAGGGTCAATGCTACCTCCAAGGCTGACATCTGGCGCCTGGCCACAGTGGACCCTCTGATGGTGAGTTGCAGGGGCAGGCCCTGGGGCTCCTTGGGGGTCTCAGGGTGGGAGTCTTGACACCCCTGGCCCTTGTCTCTGCAGACGCTGTGCACCATCCGCCTTCTCATTGAGGAGATGGATGAGGACGACAGGCTCCCTGACCTCTTTCCCGACCTTGTCTACACACTCCTGCTGCAGCTCGGCAGCAGCCACAGGCCGGAGGCTGCCTCGCCTGTCCTGAAGATGTGGAGACTGGCCCACACAGGGACCCTGCCCGAGGAGATGAACCTGCAAAGGTGCTCTGCAGGGGAGATGGGCAGGTGGGAGGGGGACCTGGGTGCAGGGCAGCAGGCTTGTGCTGGGCTCAGCCTCAGGCTGCTTCTTGGATGCCAGTGGACTCCAGGAGTCACCTCCACTGAGGGGCCTTGGTGGTCCCCTCTTAGTGGGGAGAGAAGTTTCTGAAAGCTGATCTTATTCATGATCCTCCCTCACATGTGTCCAGCATGGTATGGCTTTCAGAGTTTGAGAACCCCTTCTCTCCTGGGACAGAACCCTCACCCCCTTGGGCTAGGCCAGCAGGCATTGGGATCCCCACCTCACAGACCAGAGAATGTGGCCCAGAGTGTGGCAGCCACAGACGGCGGCCTCTGGGCCAGCCCTCCCCCTGGGCGCATAGCTCCCAGAAGGGCAGCTGCATTATGGGCTCCTACCTTCTTCCAGGATCACGATCAAATCCATGCAGATTTTATTCAAGAGAATCAACAGCGAGCACCTGGTACACGCCGTAGAAGAGCAGGCAGTGTGGACCCTGCTGGAGAACAGCGCCACATTCCTGGAGGGCGTGAGCCTGCTGGCCAGGTGGGGCCCAGGCTCCCCTAGGGTGGGACCTGGTGCCTGCAGAGGCCCCTCCTTGCTGGACAGAAGGGCCCCCAGTGAAAGGTGTGGCCTGGGTTATGGCTAAATGCCTCATTTCTGGAGAAATGGTCACATTGGCTGTGTCCCAGAGTCTGGGATGGCAATGATGTGCAGGACAGCAAGAATCTTTTATTTCAGCCTTCCTGCTCCAAAGCAGGAGGTGTGAGGTCAGGGGGAGGAGGGGCTTGCCCAAGGCCACATGGGGCCCCCAAGCAGGGGCTGGTCCTGATCACACACGAAAGCCCTCATCTAGCCCTTTTATAAAAAGGAGATGGAAAGTGATCATTTCACTGACAACCCAGCCAAGCCCCCTGGGGGAGGAGAGAGAGGCCCAGAGATGGTACGAGATCTGACCGCCATCACCCCGCGAGCTGGCACCAGGCTCCAGAGCAGCTCTGCCTGGCCCTGCGCAGACGCAGGCAGGAGCTGGGACGCTTCCTCACAGGCTGTGCATGCAGAACGTGGAGGGCTACAGACAGAGGCTGTCGGAGCTGGTGCTCAGGGGCATGGACTCGGAGGTCCTGAGCTGCCGCATCAGTAGCACTGCGGTCTGTGTGGAAGTGAGGCGCGGGGCATGGGTGGGGCGTGAGCGGAGGGGGAGGGTGTACCCTGGGCTCTCCTGGGGCTGGCTTATCTCCCAGTCTCTGAGGGGCATTGAGTTGGGGAGCGGGCAAGCTTTCCTCCTGTGTGTGTTCATTCACTTCTTCACTCCTTCATTCATTGATCACATGAGTAGTTCAGGGCCGGGCAGGTGGGGAAAGAGAGGCTGAGACAGCCTGTGCCCTGAAGTGTAGAAGGTGACTGATGCATGGCAGGTATGTGCCAGCAACCCAGGGGGGCCCAGAGGAGGCTCCCTAGGCTCTCACTGGGGAAGGGGCAGGGATGGATGGTATGGCCCAGCTACCCTAACATACGGTTACAGCATTTATGGGATTAAGAGGGAATTAGCCAGAAAACTTTTAGGAAAAATTTTATCGGCCTCCCGATGCCCAGTATGCTGTAGGAACCAAACACAAGCCCGGGCCAGGGGTCAGCAAACTTTTTTGTAGAGGGCAGGGCCACATAGTAAATAAATATTTTTGACTTTGTAGTCAACCCGGCTGCTGCGGGGGAGCCTCTGCAGGCAATGCATAACCCAGTGGGCGTGGCTGGGCTCTAGGACAACAGGCTGATGGGCACAAATTGAAACTTCATATCATTTTCATGTGTCACAAACTGTCTTAGATTTTTTTCCACCATTGAAAACTGTGCAAATGACTCCTGGCTATGGGCTGTACAAAAACTCCCGGCCTGATAGAAGACCAACCTGGGATGCTCATCAAGTTCACGGGCTGTTCTCTGTGGTCATGTCTCCTCTGTAAAACCTCAAAATAGAGGTGGGAAAGAGGGGCTCTCCCTCATTGTCTCACCTGGGGAACTGTCCCTTTTGATATATCTGAATTTACAACTGTAGGGGGCTGGAAGCCCTGCATGCAGTGGCCAGGCCCACGTACTAGAATTAGAGGTCCTGGTTAGGCTCTGACTCCTCAGCAGCCAAGCAGCTGTGGATAAGTCTCAGTTCTCCAATTTCTGCATCTGCTAAACTGGGGACAGCAGTACCTACCTTACAGGGCTTTGCAAATTAGATGAGATAATGTACACATTGCTTGGCTGTGCGGTAAGTACTCACTAAGTGCTAGCTAACTGTTTGAAAATTAGTTCCAGTTTTCAAAAAACAAGTTATTTAAATTCTTCAAAAGTCAATAGGGGTGGATTTTAAAATAATTTTGTTTTGACACATGCTAAGAGGCTTGGACTTTTTCTTGAAGGGCATTTAAAATAGGGTGTGATCGTTTTATTTACCACCCTGCCTGGCTCAGCAAATGTTTAAATGAACTGAGTGCCCTAGGATGCTCACGCTGATGTTGGTGTCCAGGATGGGCTGGAGGGGGGATGAGGCAGAGACAGGGCTAGGGAGGTTAGAGCATCTGTGCCTAATGGTCAGGAGACTAGCTTACTCCTCCTGTCCTGGACGCACCAGTTTGGTGTTTAGTTTTCTTTGGGTCTCTTTAAACATACTCAAGTGTTTGTATACACACACACACACACACACACAAGCACGCACGCGTGCACACACACACCAGGGGGTCCCCATTGACCTGAGGTCTTGGCACTTTGAGCGGCCAGTAGTGATTCTCTCAAATGAGTGAAATTCATGCTTCTTATGCATTTCTGTTCATACACGGGTGGGTGTGGCTCCGGCACACAGCAGCTGCGCTGTCATAACTGAAGAAATAAGTGGCGAGTGACTATACGTACCTGCATAGGGCACACTTGTCTAGCATTGCCCACACATTTCATTACTGAATTCCCACAACTCCTCTGAGGCACGTGCTAGCGTCACCCCCTTTTCACAGTTGAGGAAACTGAGGCACTCACAACCCCTCCCCTCTTGCTCACAGAGCATCCACTCTGTGCCTTGCATCTAATCCCATGTCCTGCCTTGCTGCTGAGAAACAGGCCTCTGCTGGGGATAACTGTCAAAGTTCTCCTTTGCAGTTCATGAGCGACCCGATCCTGCACCAGCAGAAGCTGCTGAGGCCGGCGGTGCTGATGCTGGAGAAGGGCGTGGACCAGGAAGAGGACGAGGCCCTGCGGGTGCTCTCCCTGCGCGCCCTCGGCAACATGGCTCTGGGCGCCCCTAGGAAGGTATGGCACCCCCGAGCCCAGGTCCCCGGGGCCAGCTCCAGCCAGCTGGGGACTGAGGTGGAGCTCAGGGCCGCCCGCCTCCACCAGGTGAAGCAGCATCGGAAGCTCCTGCTGGAGAAGTGCCTGGGCTCCCTGAGGGGGCCCGGGAGCCCCAGTGTGGCCGCTGAGGGCATGGAGGCCCTGACCAAAATCCTGGCTGAGCTCCGAGAAGGGGACCTGGGCTCCTCCTTCGATGCCATCTCCGAGCAGTGCAGGGTCTTCTTCGACAACGTGAGTCCAGACCTGAGCCTCCCTCACCCCCAGGGAAAAGATGTGTCCTGGAGCAGAAAAAGTATCGCTGGGCTGATCAGGGGATCTTGTAAAAAAAAAAAAAAAGTCTTGTTCAAAGTTCCAGGGAACCAGTGCTGTAGAATCTGAGGGCTCCTGGGCCCTCTGGCCCTTCTATGACAGAGGAGCTTGTCCCTTGATTTCCTTGCAGTCCAGGAGCAATCCCGAGCCCCCGTACGTGCAGGGCCCCTGCTAGGCAGTGGGGGGCATTCAGATTTGGCACAAGCCCTCCTCCAGAGAACAGACAGTCACAAGGACCAGATAATGCCCAGTCCCTCGAGTGCTACATGAACCCTGCCCAAGGAGAGGCTCCACCCTGATGGAATGACCCAGAAGGCTCTGTAGGGGCCAAGGGATTGAAAATGGCCTGTGGAGAATGGCTAGGGTTTGGTCGGGTCCTTGCTTCCCGGATGCCAGCCTTCACTTGCACATCTCGCTGCAGGACAGCGGGCAGCTGCGTTTCAAAGCCTTCGTGCTCTTTGGGAAGCTGGCAAAGGTGGTGAGGATTTCCAAGAAGCATTTCTTCAAAGGGGAAGTGAAGAAAGCCTGGGTCCCCCTCATGCTGCACTGCCAGGACCCCTGCTCCAACGTGGCTCGAGTAAGACAAGCCCAAGTCTGGGACTCGATGTCCCCAGAAGGGAGAGGTCCTTGGGCTTTCCCCACCTCACCAGTCTTCTCTGAGAGCCCAGAGGCCACAATCCGCCGGGATCCTGCTGGGGAGAGGGGCCATTCTAAGCAGTCTCAGCTCCGTGGGGGAACATGGCGTAGTTTCCTTTTCTCCAGTCACTGTCTGCATCCGTCCTCTGCCCATCCCCCTTTCTTCTAGCAGCTTCTATAACTCGCAGGTCACTTTTGGATGTCAGGCCTGGGTCCTGCTTAAAATTTGCCTTGAATCTCCCCTCGGTGCTCCCCACGGGGCAGGCCCATGTTGGTGGCTGCTAGGAGCACCGGAGGGTGCTGGCCCAGCTTCTCCGCCCTCTCCAAGGCCCAGCTCCTTTGTTGCTTTGGGGTGGGAGGAGGGACAGCCGCCTCCCCTCGCTCAGTGGCAGCCTCTCAGGCACCTGTCCCCGCAGTCTCCTCACTGACCCTGTAGCCCGACCCTGACCTCCCTCTTCTCTCCTCCCGTCTTCCTGCAGGCTGAGGAGGGGGTGCTGGGGTGCTGGCTGGGGTTGGGGCAGTTCTGGACCCTCCTCTTGAGCCTTGGGGATGCAGCTGTACCCATAGGAGGGGAACATTTTCACCTAGTGCCTTGGTCCCCAGCTCTGGGGTCACAAGTCCCCTCAATCCCATTGCTGTGAGGGCTGCAGGTTGCCAGGTGTGGGTGGGGGTGGTCTAGGTGGCACTCACAGGGAGGTGAGGGGTGTCCTGAAGCACACACCCCAGACTGGGGCTTTGCTCTGACACCCCAGACTGGGGCTTTGCTCTGCTGCGGAGTCCCTGGTAACCCTGGGCATGAAGCGTCACCACTTAGAGACTCCTTTTCCTTGCTGATCCTCGATACTCTCTGTCTACAGCTCACAGTGGTCTGGTGGGGCTGGGGCTCAGGGAAGAAGCTGAGGGCACACCAGCAAGGGTGACCGAGACAGTGTGTTGGGGCGGCTTCCAAGAAGGGACAGATCAGGGGAGACCAGCAGGGGATGGGAAGCGGGGGCTAGCCACAGAGGCCCTTACCATCCCCATCCCTCAGGAAGATACCCCACCTGTCTCTTCCAGCCCTCCCATCTCCTGGGAGCCTGAGGTCAGGGGCTCCTGCCTGCAGTTGTGCTAGAAGGCGGGAGGTGGGAGGAAGGAGCTGGGTGGAGTGGGTCTGGAAGGATGAGAAAGCTTGTCCAGTCCTGCTCTCCCCAAGCCAGCCTCCTGACTCCCAATCTCCTGGGGGACTGGGTCCCTGGCAGGGGTGCTGACGTCACCAAGGGGCTGCAGAGGGGCCAGTGGGGCTGCACCTGCCTCCAGGCTTTTTCTAAATGAACATATAGCCATATGCAAGCTGGTGGTGGCTCCAGTCCCGAGTTGGCTCCCAGGGGCCCCCAGCCCCTCCCTTCTTTGGCTCTGTGAGGCTTTTCTGGGGCTGTCCTCTGGCTTCTTGCCAGCCCCATCCCTCTTGTGAACCACCTTTGCTGGTGAGTAGAGACTGTCCAGTCCACCTGAGGCCTCTTCTGCTATCCTGTGTCCTGTTGTCCTTCCAGGCCTGCATGGCCACCATGTATCAGTGTGTGCACTTCTGGGGCTGGAAGTCCCTGGAGAGCCCCTCGGGGCGAAGTGAGGCCAATGCTGATGACGAGATGACTGTTTTCCAGATGGCCATGTGCTCCATCCTGGTGAGAAAGCCGAAGGGGGACTGGCCCATCCCAGGTGGCCACACACTGGCTTGGAGCTTAGGGTTACAGCTGCTGCAGACTTCTTTCTTGTGACCCTATGTTTCCCTTCTAGATGTGCAATGTTGAGACCAGCACTGCCCAAGAGAAATAGAATGCAAGCCTCATACCCCATTTAAAAATTTTCTAGTACCCACATTCAGAAAAGTGGAAAAGAGGTGGAACGAGTTTTAATAATATATTTCATTTTACCCAATACAGCCAAAACAATCATTTCAACATGTAATCAATTCAAAAATTAGTATTGTGACATTTTATTATTATTTTTTTACCATAGTCTTCAAAATCCAGAAGGCACTTTACGCTTAATTTAGACCAGCCACATTTCAAGTCCTCAAGCGCCACATGTGGCCAGTGGCTACTGTATTGGACAGCACAGACTCTAGAAAAATGTAATAGCCCCTCCAATCGGTCAAGAATGCAACAGAGGGCTGAGGGTCTATCACCTGCCCAGTTACTGATCCGCTGTGTGACACTGGAATGGGTGCTTGCCCTCTCTGGGCAGATGCTCCTAGTTGCAAGGGAATTGATGTAAACGACTGATGGGAACACTCTTGGTGAACAGCTTGTTTCCAGGATTTCATCCTCTAAAGCTGTGTGTGTTACTTATTTTTTTTGCAGACTCAGAAAAAGCCTGCTGTTCTCCACAGCTTCTTGCTAGAGACGATGACCTATGTTAAAAATAACTTCTCAGGGATCAGAATTGCTGCCTGCAACTTGGCAGGTGAGCAGACAGATGTCACCTGATTAAGTACAGGCCTTGAAGGGCCAGCTGGTCAACCCTAGGTCTGGAGGTGGGGAAAACAGGTGGCAGAGCTGGGACCAGAGTGCAAGTCCACCTGCCACACCATGCTTACCTGGCTGATTGGATCAGTCTTCTTCCTCGCCAATTTTGGCCCACCTAAATCCTTAACTGATATCCTCATAAAATAAAAGCAAGTGTCTTGCAGGGAGGGACACAGAGGGATTTGTCTGTTGACCTAATTTTCGCGTGGTGAGCATTTCTTTGGCTACCATTTTAGGAATTATTATCAAGCAGATGTCTGCACATTATCTGAAAAAGCTGGACTTTGCAGGATTACGGAATTGTAAGTAGTGGAGACTCAATTACATTCTGAGTCCATAAATCACCAAAACTCACTTGGGGAGCTTAGTGAAACTGGTTCGAGGGGAGAGCCAGATGACCCTTTGTTGTGGGGGATTTTGGGGGGCTGGGTGTAACCAGGGCAGAGAGAGCTGGATGCACCTAGGGGTGGGTATCCAGGGAGACAACTGTTTGATGGGTGAAGTCCATTTTGTTCCTTTGCGTCTCCTGCCATTCACACATAGTTCTGAGATGCTTCTGCCCTGTGTCTGCAGTCAGGCTCTGTGGGTGATCTTCCTGTCCGTTAGAGTGGTTACTGAAGCCCGGAGAGAGCTGTGGTGTATGTGCCAACATAGCTCCACCTGCTGTCTTCTGGCTTCACACACACGGGAGGTCCCGCCCGACCGTCAGCTGCCTTTGCCTGCAATCCACACATGCTGCGCGGGGCAGAGGCTTGTGGTCCTGACCCAGAGGGTCCTGACTCTTTCCTCTTCGTGCTCACTCTCAGCTCTCCAGGAACTGCAGCTGGACTCGGAGCCTGGGGTCAGGAAGGCAGCCCTGGAGACCCTCAAAGTCTTGGACAGTTGTAGCCAGCACCGGCTTTTGGCTTCACCTGAAGGAATGTACTAGGTGATCCAAATGTAAGATGTAAGCTGCCTCCTTAGAGTGCCAAATCCTACCATAGCAATGCAAACCATTTTAAAATTAGTTTGTAAGAAAAACACTCTTGTAAAATAATCAGTATACTTTTCTTTTCTTCCAATGAAATAAACCTCCCTTGCCAAGTGGAGTGCAGACTTCTGACTATAAGGTGATGACATCCCAGAACGAAGACTCTGGGGCAAAGGGAAGCTTCAGCCCTGCCAAGCCACTTCATTCTCACTTTCCCCATGAATGTGTGTCAGACAGCCCCTCAGCCCAAAGCACCCGAGACAGCCTGTGTCTTCTCTTGCATTTCAGTCCCACACATGCTGATGGTGTCTGCCGCCAGGCACTGTGCCAAGCAGCGAGGAGAGCTGATCTGTTGTCAAGCCTCTGCCCCCAGGGACCCAATTCTTAAGGGCAGATCTCTACCCACCTGACCATGACACACAGCAGAGTGAGTAGGGCTGCAGCCAGGGTGGAAGTGCTGTGGCAGCATGGGGAAGAGTGTCAATCCAGGATGGCTGCATGGAGGAAGTGACATTTATACCAGGCCTAGCCTCACTATCCCATCGAGGCTGGAAGTTATTGAAGCATGTTTGGGCTGCTGGAACAGGAGCTCAGTGAGGCCTGGAACAGAATTCGACTATGGGCCAAAAAAGAGAAAATTAGCCCCATGTCCAAGAAACATGTTGGGGGAAGAGGGGAAGGCAGGAACTTTTCCTATACTCGGGCCATCAACAGAACAGTTGATCTGTCCCCAGAGCAGGTAAAAACAGGACTTCCAGACTGTTCCCACTATAACTGCTGAAAGCAGTCGCCACAAGGGGTCCCCATCACCAGGACAGAGCTGCCGAGCAGTCCACAGCATCAACCCCATGCTAAAGCCTTCTCCAAACAATAGTTTTCAAACTGTTTTGCGGTTCCCATGGATCATAATGAAGTTATTTTCTGCCAAGTGGCAAGTGATGAAGAGTGTTGCTGCTAAAAAAGCTTAAATACCACTGATGAGGCCAGGAATGGACGTGCCATTCAATACAGGTACTGGGGAGACAGCTGTACACTTGTGCAGTAAGGTCTCCTTTCATGCCTGTGCAAAAAACATTTCCAGATGGTTTCCTAAATGTGAAAAGCAAAATTTAAGATAATACTATTTTTGATTTTGAGAGTAGGGTAGGTCTTCCTTAAAAAGTAATAGCAGAAGCCAGGAAAAATAAAGAAGCTATCTGACAATGTTAAAATGTTACTTATGTATAATAAAAACAAAACTTTTGTATATAAATAACAAGACATAGATGGGAGAAGTTAGGTGCAAATTATATAAAACTGGACTGATTCACATAATTGCATCCAGGATATACTCAAATCCATAAGAAACAAAGAAGCAAATAGAACACAGTGTCATGAGAGGACATTCGAAAAGCTGGGACCCGCAGAAGACATCCGCTGTCTTAAGTCGTCCAGAGAAGGCGAACCGCGATGCAGTACAGCTACACCTGCCTGCTGCAGCGGTACCAGCCACCACAGCTGTCAATGCCATCCAGTGGCAATCTCATGGGGAAATGGTACTGCTCCTGTTGCTAGACAGAGTGCAAACTGGAATAGTCATTTGAGAAAGCAATTTGGTAGTTACTAGGAAAGCTGAAGATGCACCCATCCATGACCCTCAGTTCACCTCCGGGTGTGTGCTGCAGATAAATTCACACTCGTGCACAAGGATCACAGGCAATGTGTTCCTAGCTACAGACATCCAAGGAGAATGGGGTAAACTGTCTACCTGGAGAAGTCTTAAAATGAGAGCCCACACGTAGCAGCTCCTGTCAAATGCAAATAACCTCTTGGTAAAATAAAACTGCAGAATACACAGTATTAAATTATTTATATGAAAGTTAAAAACATAGAGACCACACTGTATATAGTTTATGGGTCCTTTATTGTCACATTCCCTAAATTGGCTGAGACCCATGCCTAATTCCTTCCACCTTGCCTTCCTCCACTAGATAGAACTGCTCAATTTTTCAGCCTCCCTGGCAGCTAGTCCTAGCCTGGCCAATGAGACCCTAGCACAAGTCTAGTGGGCAGGAGGGGTGGTGAGCCACAAGCAGTTCTGTGCAAAGATGACAGTTTTCCTGATGAAAAGGGAAGGATGGGTTGTGTTCTTCTTAGGAAGCAATGGGTCCCAAGGAAAGGTCTAGAATTGCTGGGGCCACCACTGCCCTGGCTGGGCATATAATTGAAACAAGGCAGTGTATGCCTTCCTTACTGATTTATAGTGCTATGGACAGAACTGTCCCTCAAATTCATATGGTGAAGTCCTAACCCTTAGTGTGATGGGATCTGGAGACAGGGCCTTTGGGAGGAGACCACGTGTAGATGAGGCAATCAGGGTGGGGCCCTCATGATGGGATTAGTGCCCTTATAAAAAAAGACACCAAGGAGCTTACTTCCTCTCTTTCCTCCATGGAGGACAGAGAGGTGGCCATCTGCAAGCCAGGAAGAGAGTCCTCACCAGAGCCTGACCACGATGGTGCTCTGATCTCAGCCTACCAGACTCCAGAACTGTGAGAAAATAAACCTCTGTCGTTTAAGCCACCCACCCCATCTCTGGTATTTTGTTCTGGCAGCCCAAGTTGACTCATGCACACAGGTAACGTGGCCCAGGCGTGAAAACATGAGTGGAAGGACACACACCAACACCTGGAGAACAGTTGCCAAGGGAGGGGAAGGAAAAGGTGTCTAACTGAATCTATCTTTAACCTTTTATTGACAAAAATTCATAACAAACATGGCAATACATTAAAACTATTTACTTTAGATGGATGGTACACAGGTTTTGTCACAGTATTCTAAACATTTGAAGTATTTCATTAAAAAGTCACTGTAATGTCCTATTGTAAACAGCTCCAGTAAAAATCATGACACGTCACAAATGCCATGTGCCTGCAAGACTGTTTTGGGACTATCACAGGATTGTTTAAATATAACATGTTTTCACCTAGAATCGTTTTAGATAAGATTTAATTTCATCCACTTTTAGAGAAAAAAATTACCTTTTATAGCTGAATTATATTGTTTCAATTTGCTCTGAAAGATACCAAGTCCTAACAGGTCTGAATCTAAAAAGACTAAGCCAGTGTATTTTCCCTCAAAGATCACTGTACCCAGAGCTTAAATTTAGGTTTCCTAAGCACACAGTATTCTCCAATAAAACAGGAAATGTAAGGGAGAATTCTCTAGACACATCTAAATTTTAAAAGAAAACATGAGAAAAACAGGCCTACAAGGGATAACATTATGAATTTTAATTGAGCAACTTGATTCACATGATTTCCATACACAGGAACTCAGAGTCATCTCTGATGGAGCCAATTTCACTAAAGTTTGCTTTAGGGGCAGATAAGTCAACCAAATTCTCACATTTTCTTGAGAACTGAAAAAACAACAGCAAAAAACAGACAGCAAGGGGGAAGAGGGACAACGCTCCAAAATATCCTGGCTACACATTTTTAGCTTTGAATTTTCCTAACACAAAATCACTCTTCTCTTCCATCCAGGAAAATGTGTTCTTTCTCTAGGGGGAAAAAAAAAAAAAAAAAAAAAAAAAAAAAGATAAAGAAAATGATTTCAGTAAAATTCTACTAGCATTCCCAATGCCAGCTACCAAAAGCTTAATTCTTTTATATTTATTCCATTGCATATATATATATATATCTTTGTGTGTTCATTATAGGAAATGCTGTCACGTTAAATAAACACCCTAAAAAATGTTAAAAAAAAAAAAAAAAAAAGGAATGGCAATGCCTCAAGCAGGCAGTACAAACTGGTGGTTAAGTCCATGGGCTCTCAAATCCTGGTGCAGTTGGTACTGCCTGTGTGAATTTAGGAGGTACAAGATTTAAGCTACATTTACTTATTTAGAAAAAGGAAAGACAGAACCTGCCTATTGGGCAGAACCTACCTAATCAAAGAGTTTGTGTGGGGGGTTAAGATAAGGTGTCAAAAGGTTCACCATGGCCTACCATGGCCCAGCACACAAAAAGCACTCAGATCTTAGTAACATTTTTTATGTAATCATAGCTCATGAAGATTTGGTCCCTTTCCTCAAGAAATTTATAGTTTAGTTAGGGAAAGGAAAAAATTGGGAAAATGGTAAATATGCTTACATTGTGGTCTAAGATGAAACTGTAAAAGGCACGTGGTGATGGCCACAATGACTTGCTATCAAATTCCAGGAGATCTGATAGGGCCCTGCTGAGTCACCAAGGGCCAAGTTCTAGGCACAGTCCCCACTCCCAGGTGTAACCAGGCACCAGTCCCCTCTATGTGGCTGGGCCAAGAGAATAAGAAAGCCCTTTCAGGCTGAGCAGGATAAAAGCGAGAGACTTTGCACAAGCACAGAGGCGGCAGGGTTTTGTGAGGGAAGGGCAGGAGTGAGGCTGAGGCAGGGAAGACAGGAGGGCACCGTGCTCCCGGGGCTGCGGGGCCCAGAGTCACAGGCAGCTGGAGAGGTGTCAGCAAACCAAGGAACAAGGCGGGAAAAGGCACAAAGAGAACCTGAGGGTCAGGATGATGGTGAAACGTGTGTGTGTTTGTTGGGCGGACTACTTGAGAAAAAGAAGTTTATGTTTTGACAAACAGGGACAGCGAATACAGGTATCATGAGGTGCTAGGAGGCTGGGCCAAACCTCAGGATGGCTCTCCAGGCTGAGATCCTCGGTGAAACGCCCCCTTTCAATAGACCAATGAGGTTATGCTGAGGGGATCTGTTAGTGATCAGAATGCATGAAGTGAATGCCACGAGATGTGGCCAACCTCTTGAAGGCCGTGCCCTCATTGAACTCTCTCTGAACGCCACCAGCCAGTGGTTTGGCATGGCAAAGGCGAGTGAGCAGTGGGCACAGGAGGCAGGAGGAGCTAGGGGGCTGGGCAAACAGCCTGAGACCAAGAACAAAGGGGAAGACTTTGCTGTTAGACAAGAACCGTCAGGAAAGAGCTACCAAATTGGAGGGAGGACCCTGTCCACACAGTGCCTGGAGGGGTTGCTCTCCAGGTCCAGCCTGCCCTTGGGCCTGGCCCCCACCTGCCCTGCTCAGCTCCACGTTGGTCTCGTCAAAGGCCCCTGCCCCAAGGAGGGGATCTGGAGCAACCCTTTCCCATCACCTGGATACTTATGTAAGTCCTCAACTGGAATGACAAATGTCAATGCAGACTTGTTTTATCTGCTTCTGGTTAGCTCACATAGGATTTTATACGTGGAAGTAAATTACAAAAACAAAACAACAAAACCTGGGATTTTCTAGAACTGAGCCAAGGAGCCTACCTTGTGCCACCAACTTGTGAGATCTGCCTGCGTTCAGACAGGTATGGTAGCACTGTGGTGCCCCCAGGGAGGGCAACGCTCACCTGCACAGGGGGGCAGCTGAAGAGTGTGTGTGGGTGAACAGCTGAGGAGGTTTAGGGACACAAGCAAATACTGGGAGAAAAGGAGAGAAGATTCCAGTGAAAATTCCCCTGGAAAGAAAAGGGAGCTGTTGTAATGGCATGACCTGGATGAGGCAGCCCAGGAGACATCTGAGGGCACTGGGAGGACAGGAGTAGTGGAGAGAAGAGCAGCCTGCAGGTAAAGCCACCGGAGGTTGCTGGTGCAGAGTGTGGCTTCGGGGGAGCACAAACTGGGCAGCAGGCTGAGAAGGCAGGAGTGGCAGAAGGAAAAGGGAGACCAGCCCTTGACTGTGAGCTTGAAAGCAGGTGCGAGCCACAGGGAAGGAAGCACAGGCCAAATGGGCAGAAAAACAGATAGGGTCCATCCAACGATCTCTGGGAGAGGTCGCCCACCTGGTTGGGATAAGGTAAAGGAGGAAACGGTAGACACTACCTCACCTGTCCAAACTACAAACACATAAATTCCAAAGGAAACTGGCCAAAACCAAACTCTGTCAGCCAGTGCATGGGTGACTGCACCATTAGAATCCTGGCTTGTGGACACACTGATATGCTATGCTGGAGAACCTGCACTTGACCAGGCAACAAAGGCAACACCCTGACCCACCCCACTTTGGCTCCATCTTGCCTCTGGGACAATAAAATGGCACATGCAGACTAAAACTTTAGCTGAGTGACGTGCACAAACTCAACTGCAGAACGAGGCAGGTGACACAGAGAGATCTGAATGCCATGAGCACTGGGATTATCTGCAGAGTCAAAGGCAGGCTCAGAGGCAGCCTGGGGTCCCCACGTGAGACTCTACGCTGGTGGCTCTTGCCAGCATCTCCTGCTCTGTCCCTACTAGGAATCCGCAGCAGGTGGGAAGTCATTATTTTCTGATCAGTTTCACCTTATAATTGCTATTTTCTGAATGTAAGATGAAGGGATTGGAAATGGCACAGTTTGACAAAGATAGATATAGCAAATAAGTTAGGGTTTTTAGAAAAAACCCTAAATGCATTCCACTGGAAATGTGCAAAACTTTTTCTATAAGAACATTTTCAGCTCCACATTCATGCATCTTACACGAACATGTTAACATAAATGCTGATTTTAGAGGAAGAAAGAATTTGTGAGAATGTTTGGGAAATTAACAGGAAAGAATCCTGTTGGGATTCATCAAAAGTTGCTACCATACAATGCCTCTGCCTACAGTGGTCACACACAAAACATCACATTCAACAAACAGAAAGGTACCTTCTCCTCCCAGTTGGGCTGTGCAGAGCTGAGTTGCTCTCCTGGTCTGGGGACAGCTTCGTCCACTTCATCTGAGGAATCCCAGGAATCGGCCCAGTGTCCACACACCTGGGGGTCTGATAACCTGCGCCTTTTTGCTGGGAGCTGATGGTCCTTCCTGGCAGTGAGAGTCACACACGTGTACGGATGAACCCCAGCTGCAGGTGAGCCCAGGGGACTTCGTATGTGCCACGGGGGTGATGATGAAAGCTTTTGGAAGCCACGGAAGTGAGAGTCTGGATTTAACTTTGTTACCAAGTCTTCTGTTTCATACAGAACTTCCACTCTTGCTTTATTTGGGGACACTTTAACACGTAAAGGTGTCTTCATCTGCTGAGGCGATTTTTGGCAATACTCTTGATGAAGCTTGTCAAATTTTTCTTTAATTTCATCATAACGATTCCTTCCATAGCCTAGAGGTTCTATCCTCGGTAAGGAAATAGCCTTGCTGGGTGACAGTGACTTTCTAAGTAGCCCAGAACTGCTTCTGTGAATGAGAAGGTCAGAAGTCTGCTGAGAGTGGCCTGGGCTCTGAGTGGGGTCGGTCTTGAAAAGTGGGGAAATGGAATCACTCATTGACAGGCATCCATCTGCGTCCAAAGGTCTTTTGCCCAGGTTTTCAAAAGCTTCATTTAACCTTCTTGCTTTTGCTTTACTGAAAGGTAAACTCAGCCTGTGGGTTTCTAAGCCCCACAGGCCACCAGGGCTTGTACGACCCCCTCTGTACACGTCCACTGCCCGAGAGCCCTGGAGGCCAGTTAGGCAAGGTTGTTTCCTGGGACTCAAGCAATACTCCTGATGAAGCTTATTAAATTTAATATCAATCTCCTTATAGCTATTCGCTCCATGACCCCCTGGTCTGGAAACCATTTTTACAGGAGAAATTAACCATTTTAATTTTATTAATCTATCTTCCTGATCAAAGTAATGAATTGCACTGGAGTATAAATAAGTTGAAGAACACTTCTGGGGCAACACTTTAAGCTCCTTCCAACTTGAATCTAATTTACAGATTTGGGGTTTGTTTACTTCAAGAAAAGATTTTCCCGATTTTAAACCTGTCTTATGGTAAGAAACATCTACTAAGTTCTCCCAATCTCTTAATGCTGCTCTCTCTCTTGCAGGCTCAGAACAGGGTAGAAATCTCTCCTTGGGACTCCTCTGAGACTGTCTGCCTCCTTTGCAATATGTTTTGTTCAATCTGTTCTTACACTTGTACTTCCTCCTGGAGCTCCAGTTTTGAACGATGCATGTTTTGGTGGAAATGATGCTTGATGGCTTCGTACTCAACAGCCGACTCATTGAGTGCAGCATACCCTCATACAAGTCGCTGATGGTCAGGTTGCACATGTCATCAGCCTCGAAGGACTGGCTGCTTAAGAAGCTTTTACTACTGGTCTCTCCTAATGAGAGACTGTCATTTCTAGGTACTATGGCCATGTCCGTTGAGCAAGGATGCAAAGCATCCCACTCTCTGGGAGAGGAAGCTGGCTTTGCTGGGTTAGCAGTGCTCTTTCCAGAGACACTACAATAGGATCCTGGGAAAAAAACACACACACAAGTAAAGGGCTGTTACCATTCAAAGCCATCCATATGCATAGATCATGTAACTTCAGATTGGATTATGACTGTTTTTTTAAGCAATACAAAAGCAAAAAAACACAAAAACTCCACAAATATTTAGGAATACTCTTCTCAGCTATCAAAATTAGATTTTTACTTGCCAACTACCTTCCCAAAATGAGTCTTCCTTCCACTCTGTGGCTGTTTAGAACATGTTTGCCTTTTTTTTTTTTTTCTTAAAAGATGACCGGTAAGGGGATCTTAACCCTTGACTTGGTGTTGTCAGCACCACGCTCAGCCAATGAGCGAACCGGCCATCCCTATATGGGATCCGAACCCGTGGCCTTGGTGTTATCAGCACCACACTCTACCGAGTGAGCCACGGGCCGGCCCCAGAACATGTTTGCCTTTCAAAAGCTAATTAGAAACCAGGGGATGATGGGTGGGGAAGGGAGTAAAGCTCCCAAATGTGCCTCTTACACAGCTTTGACTTGTGCATCCTGTTAAATGTTGCATGTATCTAGAAAAATAAAGTTAAACGAACAAGGATGGGGAAAAAACCCTAAAATCAAATAGAAACAGAAAAAAATATAAACCTATATATCAAATTGAAAACTGAAAGAGAAAAAAGGATCCAAATAACTTTGAACACAATACTCTGAATGTACTACTCCCTTCAGGGGATACTGTTTAAGGATGAAAAGAGCTACTTGAAATCCTGAACCTTATTGTACACTGCTGCAAAGAGTGGTACTGGGTGCCACACTCTGAGATTATTCTGTACTGCATGATTGACGAGATGAGCAAACATTACTGAGGCTGGTGACAACCAGGATAGGATATGCAAATGTGGCACTGCAGTGGGGGTGAAGAAGTGCTCAAAAATGATGGGGACATGTCAAAGGACATAGAAGCCAGGCTGAAAGGGGCTCCTGCAGGCTGTATTTGGGAGTACTTGAGTACCCAATTGAGTACTGGCAATGGATTATAGCACATAAACTTCACAAAATCCATGAGTTCTTAGTGATCCTAAAAAAACCCCAAAAACCTGTGTGGGGGAGATAAAGGAATTAAAAGAAGAACCAGAGGGGGACGACAGCTCTTCTACAGAGAATGCCAGCTGACACGTGCAGAAGAGTGCAAGGCAATGGAGGTCTGACTGCAACCAGGCAACCTCATCACTGGATGCTCAAACTGCCGGGTGAAAGGTTTTTGTAGAAAAGGCTCCCAGGTGATTCAAAGAATCACCCACAGATGACCCTGAGGAAAGAGGCCCTTTTGCAGTGAGAAACTGGATGAGCCCTACCTCAAAGGCCAGATTCAAAAGCCGCCAACAATGGGACAGGCTGATGGGATGTCCCACAAGGACACGGCACCCATGTACAGTTTTTTTGCCAAAAAATGTTTAACATGAGCCTAACTGCGAGGAAACTCAGAGAAGCCCAAATTGAGGGATATTCTGCAAAACTACTGGCCTGGACCTTTGAAGACAGGTAATGATGTGAAAAATGACGAGGACAGGAGTAAGGCCAGGGAGCAGTTCTGGACTGAAGGAGACCCCTACACACAGTGGTGCTGCCTGTGTGGACCTGAACTGACCAAACAAAAAAGGCTGCAAAGGACATTACTGGTACAACTGGATTGTGTCAGTGCTAAATTTTTGGCATGTGCTAAGCTTACTGTAGTCATGAAGGAGAAATACCTTGTTCTTAGGAAACACGTGAAACTTTTAGGGATAACACATATACAAATGCCAATAAATACGAGAGTTTTCAACAGTTCGTGGAAAAATGGAATGGAAGGGTAATATGAATCCTTCCATGAACATGCTGAAGTACCCTCATATATAACATACATATGCATGTGTGCGTGCCAGGGGCGGGTAGGTGACTAAGGAAACATTACAAAATGTTGACTGTGAAACGTAGGTAAAGGATGATCATTGTCCTACAAGTCTTACACTCCTGGAGTTTCAAAAAATTTCAAAATATTGAGTTGGGATAAAGAGCTAATTAGAAATTAGCGTGCCAGAATGGCAGAGAAAAAAAAAGTCATTTTAAAAAATCTTATTAATCTTCCTATGAAGTCCAAGTTTGTTCATGTTGATGAAACACGCCCAGCAAACAACAGTGTGCCCAGTGTGAGCGGCGCTATGCACTGCTCATGCTCTGTTTCTGCGTCACACTTACCAGGGGCAGGCGTGGCAGGTGAGGCCAGTGGAGAGACCAGGGTCACATGTGTGTCCTTTCCATCTCTGTTACCTTCACACTGAAATCAAAGCCAATCATTACAAAAGAGCTGTCAGATGCTGAGACCCAGAGTGCATGGAGCTGGGTTCTTCCCTGACAATGCGATGTCCCCGCAAGACTGGCATAAGGAGCTGCCTGCCCCACTTTCAACAAAGACTGTGTGCCTTAGCACAGTGGCAGCGTTGATAAGCATATGACCATGATGATACTGGCTGGCTGGTCTTTGAGCAGTGGAGGGGAGAGGTGACCTAGTAAGATCTGGGAATTCTGTCTATGGGTCTCCATGTGCCCTCTGGCCAATCACCACCCATCTGCCAGTAACTCCCTCCCCGGAAGGGCTCAGGCTCGTCTTCGTCCACCACTACACTCAGACAGCAGTAACACCCAGGGGCCAGGTGGATGGAGGGCAAAGAAAACCCGATAGAACGCTCCCAAGTCTGGTCACACAGCAGCCAAGAGGACACCACTTGCTGCTTTAGGCTAAAGAACAAGGAAACATCAATAATTCGGTGGTCCTCGAATACACGCTTTTCACTGGTCAGCAACACAATAAGGAAACACACACATTTCCGTAAGTTTGCTGCCTTTTTCTGGAGGTGAATTGTTCTTTATTCCGCAATGTGTACTTCCTAGTTATTTGGTGTGAAAATGTCCTTTATCTTATGAAAGACATCCACAGACCTTGGTTCCTTATGTGAACCTCAATCTTTTGCTTTTTTGCTCTTTGTCAGGCAAAGTTCTGAGAAAGCAGCTGCAGTGGAACAGAGGGCATCAACCCTGGGTGAGGGGCCGGGGAGGCTGCCCTCCTCTCATGCCATCAAAGCTGCCAGCACGAGGCTTGTGGTGCGCCTCATGCCTCACCCTGACACGACCTTGGAACAGATGGAACAGGTGGGGTCAAGGGCTGGTACCTCCCTTTGCTGCTAATCCCAGCCCTGGTCACGGCAGCGAAGGTGGGAGCCACCACTTCCCTAACTATGCAGTTTAAAATCCCCCTGGCAAGTCCCACATGTGGCTCTCCTAGATTTCTATGAGCTGCCCCAGAGCAGCAGGCAATGGAGGTGCACCCTGCTAGGACTCCCACCTCTGTGAGCTTCCCTGTTGGCTCTGCCCTAGGAGACCTGGAGTGTCCATTCAATAGCAGAAGTCTGTCAGCATGTGACTAAAAGCATTTGGAAATAATTACTCAAAATGCTCTTTACAGAATAAACAAAAAGCATGATTACATTACACCTCAGTATATCTGTATTTTATTTTATTTTTTGTCTTTTTTCGTGTCTGGCAACGGATCACAACCCTCAGTGTCGCGCCTGTACCGGACTGGGACCGGCAACGGGATCGCAACCCTCGGTGTCGCTCCCATACCTCGCTCAGCCAGTGAGCGGGAACCGGTCTGCATGTGGGATCCGAACCCTCGGTGGGAGCGCCACCGCGCTCCCAAGCGGCACACTGTAGCAGTGCGCCACCGGGCCGGCCCAGTATATCTGTATTTTATGATCTAATTATGTAAAAATATACAGTGGGAAACAGATTACCTTAAGACACCCTGTTTCTTGTAGCAGTATATCCACTTGGGTCATGTATTTCCTTCTTAACTCATTTTTCAAAGGGCTCTGAGGCACTGCAGGCTGATTGAAAAAGAGAAGTCATTACTCTTCAGAGCTGTTGGGTACAGCTGATCTCTTTAATTCTGGAGCAAACTGGTAAGTTCATCAATGTACAAATCTCTAAATGAAATTACTGTCACTTTTTTACCTCCTGCTGTTAACAGTGTTCTATTTAGTCTCTGACAATCCACTGACCCAGTAATCTGATGTTAGGGAATATACTCAGTGTTTAAAAATCCAACAGAAATAAAGAGACCAAAACAAAAAAACAAATCTGGAGAAGTATATGATGGTATTACTAAAACAGAAAAAAAATTTAAAAGTCTAAATATTCTTAGATGATGAGTTCAGGGCTCAACTACTAGTAATAATCCCAACTGGTAAGTTTTTAAGAAGAGAAACTCAGTGTTCCAACTCAGGAGGCCAGGAATGGCCGGCTCTCCTACCCCTCACCTGCCAGACACTGGAAAGAGGGGTTCACCCTCCATTTTCTGCACCTGAGTGGGATCGAGCCAAGGATCTGGGATGCAGCTGGGGGTAGTGCAAACACACATTGCTGAGAAGAGCCAGCACCTGGTTTCTCTACTACCAGGGCCTCCCACCTCCCCTTTGCTGCCAATCCCTACATGACCCTTCAGAAAGTACCCACTTTCCTGCCCCAGGGTCACTTGCCTTTTTCTCTATCCAGATACTAAAAGTCACACACGGGTGAGTGGGCAAACCTCTGCATAAAAGGAGCAATTTTGGAGGAAAACCAGGCACAGCTATTCTAGCATATGACACAGGGGCCAGGAAAGATGCTCAAGAGGGTTAAGTTCTGTGTGAATTCTGTCCTATCCCAACCAAGAGAGAGAGCGAGGATCACGTCCTTTAAGGAGATGTGTTTTCTGCGACCACTGGGACACTCTAGGAAACAGACATATGAGTGACACTTACTTTTTAGGTCAGCGAGGGGTACCTGGTTATGTGACCTCAAGACTAAATGGGCTCTCGAGGCTGACCTGTAAACACTTCCGAGAACACCTCCTTAATGACTGTTTCTGAGGGGCAAGACAACTCAGAAGCAGCTTTTACTACTGCGCGTGCAGTCCCGGCAAATGGCACACAGTGAACCACAGCAGTGACAGTTCTACTTGCAGAGTAAAAAGTATCCAAAATTACTTACAATCACATAAATTAAGTAAATCAGGCTGAACTGGAGGTAGTACTGGCTGCCAGGCAGGAAAACACTGAAGACTCGAGGTGTGGTGGCAGCCAAAGAGGGCCTCAGAGGGGGACCTCCAGCTGGGTGCTGGCAGTGCTGCCCAGGCCACATGGTCCTCACTTGCTGAGAGCACGTGCACTTGGACCCCAAGCCCCGACTCTGTCCACTCATTACCAAAGGCAGATCTTACCGTTAAGATCCAAGCAACTGGATCTTCTTGGTCTGAAGTTGCGTCACCACCACTGCTTTTTGAACCTAAAAGTAAAAAAGGAAATCTCAGTCAGGATTTTTGGGAAACCTTGCATTTTCCTCTAAAGGATGGTTTTTCTATCGCTTTGAGTATGTCCTACAGTAAAATCCCTATTGTTTCAAGGGTGTTCCCCTTGAATAAAGATACCACCAACATTGCTGCTCAGGAACATATCAGAATGGGGCTATGCCTCAGAAGTGGAGAGAAGGAAGAGCAGATTTTATACCACCTCTGGCTCTTCCAATGACCTCTGATCCTAGGCGTTGGGACACCCTATCCCAGCTGCCCGACAGAACCTCCTGTGATGACGGGAAGTTCTCCATCTGCTGTCTAATACATCAGCCCCTAGCCACATGGGGCTACTGAACAGCTGATATGTGGCTAGTAAGGCAGAGGAACTGAATTTTAAAATTTTATTTAATTTTTAATTTATTTAAATAGCCACAGGCAGCTAGTGGGTACCGTACTGATGATGCAGCTCTTGAATACCTATTTCTAATTATTTCAAGCAGTCTGGGAAATGCATGGACCCAAGGATTTACAGAGTTAAAATTTGGACTAGTGCCAGTAAACAAATATCAGTGAACATCTTCATTAAGGTCTCCCTTCTAGTTCTACTTTGAAAGACCACCAATTTTCTCTCCAAAGCTCAACACATGCCATTGACTGTCCAGAGTAGGTGAGGAGCCGGCGAAGGGGTTGGGCGGGGGGGAGGGGGGGGGGACAGAGCTGCGGAAAGGTCAGCGTCTGGTAGGAGAGATGGTGTTAGAGATCAATTACAAAACTGCTCACGAGGAGACAGCGTGGGCAGGTCAGGCAAGCCTTCAGGCCACGTTCTGGCCTTTGGCCCCAACAGCAGTGGGAAGCCATGCAGTGCTTCTAACAGATTCAAACATGTGTCAATGGGAGGAGGGAGCCCTGGCGGGGACAGGAGCTGACAGGAGCTGACGCTGGGGGCGGTGTGAGGGGCAGCAGGGTAGAGAACAGGAGGCAATGCACTGAATGTAAGTGAGGAGCGAGGGGAGGTGGAGGCGAGGCCCCTGGGGGGGGGTGGGGGGGGGGGGGGGGGGGGGGGGGGGGGGGGGGGGGGGGGGGGGGGGGGGGGGACAGAGCTGCGGAAAGGTCAGCGTCTGGTAGGAGAGATGGTGTTAGAGATCAATTACAAAACTGCTCACGAGGAGACAGCGTGGGCAGGTCAGGCAAGCCTTCAGGCCACGTTCTGGCCTTTGGCCCCAACAGCAGTGGGAAGCCATGCAGTGCTTCTAACAGATTCAAACATGTGTCAATGGGAGGAGGGAGCCCTGGCGGGGACAGGAGCTGACAGGAGCTGACGCTGGGGGCGGTGTGAGGGGCAGCAGGGTAGAGAACAGGAGGCAATGCACTGAATGTAAGTGAGGAGCGAGGGGAGGTGGAGGCGAGGCCCCGCACCACAGGGGCAGTGTGGGGCTTGTACCCAGGCGGGAACATAAGGTGAAGAGCAAGTCTGCGGTTGGCCTTTGTAGTTTAGATACACTGAGTTTGTATGTGACATGTTTAAGTAGAGGCTGCCAGGCAGTAAAACACACCACGACAAGGTCTGGGCTAGAGGTCAGTCGGCATGTGGTGAGGCCATGGCTCCCCCAGAGTGAGGGGCAAAGAGGGGTTCAGAACAACTCTTAAGAAAGGGCACCCTGTGGAGAGGAGAGGTGGGCCGGCAGAAGGAGCTGAAAGGAGGGGGACAACCCGAAGAGCACAGCATCACAGAGACCAAGGCCAGAATTTCCAGAAGTTTCAACTGCTACCAAGAGGCCAATGCGCATAAAAGTTGAAAATTGTCAACTGGATTCTGCAACGGGGGTGCCAGGAACCCTACCCAGAGCCCAAAGCCAGAATGAACCTGGGTGAGGAGTGCACGGGAGGTGAGGAGTGCACGGGAGGTGAGGGAGTCTGAGCCAGCAAATGTGAGCGACCTATTTGAATTTGGTTGCAAAGAGGATTGCACAAGGGGAGGTGGCTAGGAAAGGACACAGGGTGGGGGAGGTTCACCAAGTACATTTCGTGTGTTTATGGTAAAATCGGGGCGAGTGTAAACACCAAGGGATGTATCTGGGGTAGAGGGAGAGGCTGAACGCAGAAAGAAGGGCTGAGGGACAGGACAGGGTCTAGACAGTGAGACTGGCCTGAGGGCAGCGAAAGTGGCTTCTATAGAGAAGGAAAACAGTGACTGCAGAGGCAGGAAGACTTTCTACAGAAGGCAAATCTCAAGTCTTATTATAAGAGGTTTTTACTTTTTAAAAATATACCTTAGAAAAATTAAAAACTTGAATAACAAGGAATACAGACTTAAAACTGTTGTAACAGAGACATGTCAGGCACAGTCCCTCCTGATGCTGCTTTCTAACAAAGGCGACACTCACCGGCTCTCAGGACCTGTGTGTGACGCTGGGGCAGCTCATGACCTTGGGCTGTAGCTTGCACAGGGCCATCCATCCTGCCAGCCAGCTTCCCACGGGAGTCCTCAAAGTACTGAAGTCAATAAAGACATGCTCGTTTGAGTAACAGCACATTTCAAAGCCACGGCACAGGGATAGACCTGCAATCCTCCCATGAACATGGAAGGGAATGAGAAGATTCCACAGGCTTCTCTTCTCACACCTCCGCTTTCTAAAGGCATCCGACTCTCAGGAGGCAGTCGAAGCTCCTTTTGGAAAAGCAGCAGAGCTTCCTTCCTCAGGTGGTGAGTGACAGAGGAGCGAAGTCAGGAGCAAAGGCAGAGTGGCAGGGCTCTGCGCCCGCTTCGCCTCGTGCCGCCCTCGTCCCGGCCCTGAAGTGGCTCACAGGGATTGTGGCAAACAAAAAGCCAAAGTGAAACAGAACATAACTGTCACTAGGTCATCAGAGAGAATCTAGAAATACTCAAGAGGCCCCTGGGGGACTTTCTGTGATCTTTATCTTAACCATGTGACATTGTGGTTATGGCAATGTTGTGAGTTCTACAATTCCTGTACATGTGGAGCCAGTTTAGGCCTGAGCTACACTTGACTTGTAGGGGCAGTCAGTCATCCATGACCAGGAGCTCACACTGCAGGGGTGGTCAGCTGGCCACACTCCAGGGGAGGCCTACTTCTGCCCTCTAGAGCCTGCTATACACAAGGACTCACTAATAATCCTAACAAGTGGCATCAATAGGTTCTCATTAGTGAAATTCAGGCATTCAAGACACCAGATTGGCTAAAATATCTTGAGACTACCCCCCCAGCCCTGCACAATGAGGGAATGAGGTGGCAAGGCCTATGCCTTTAGGGATGGCCCTCAGGTAACATCTCTACAGGTTTGGGGGATTTGTGGCTACCCAAGAACACTACATGGAAATTGAATCTTGCTTCGAGAACATCAGAATTGCCATCTTTGCCTCCAGTGAAACTGACACCTAAGGTGAGCTTTCAGGGAATTTCCAGAGTTGTTTTGTGGCTGCCTGTGTGGAGGAATTTCCAGAGCTGTTTTGTGGCTGCCTGTGTGGAGGAATTTCCAGAGCTGTTTTGTGGCTTGAGAATTTTGGGGAAACAGCCAATCCTACCAACCCCTAACTACTTGGCAGCTCTGGTATCTACAAAGAGAACCCAAGCCTTGTGTTATAGCCAAGCTGCCTTAGGTCAATGCACAGCCCGCCATGGCTCACTGCCTCCCACAGCCTACAGGGCAGGAATCTCGAGGGCATCTGGAGGATTTAGTTATTTGGGAAAGGGTACAGGCAGATTTGGGCACAGTCACCAATAATAATTGCAGTGAAGTTAGTGATGTACAAGTTGGAATCACAGACTATGCCCAATTTTCTAATCCAAGAAAGGGTGTAAAAAATCTGTAGACCCCAGGCAGTCATCACCCTACATTTTAAGCAAAAACCTTAAACAAATGTCCAGCTGAAATATTTTGCCACCAGGACCATTCAAGCACTGGTCTGATGAATGGGTGTCAGTGTCACTATTATGTATAACTTAGAGAGTGGACCTAATAATCCCACTTCTGGGCATCCCCCCTCAAAAAGGGGGGATATCAGTACTGAGGAGAGATAAGAACCAGTATGTTTCTCTGAGGACTATTTATAACAGGTGTTTTATAAATAAAGTTTTATCGGAACACAGCAACACTCCTTTCTCCCATAACAGAGCTGAATAGTTACAACAGAGACCACATAGCCTGCAAAGCTGAAAATATTTACCGTCTTGCCTTTTATGGAAAAAGTGTGCTAACCCTGATTTACAATTAGAGAAGGCACGAATAGCTGAATGCCTATCAATTGAATGGCAGTTTAAAACACTGGTGACTGAATTACACAATGGATGATAAAAAGAAGGCTTCTCTGTAAAAGTGAGGGTAAAAAATAATGTATATTTATGAAAATGTATATTATAAACAGGAATCACATTATTCTTAAATAGCATTAGTGAATATCTCTGCATAGAGAAGTCAGGCTAATATTAAGTAGTTCTATGAATTCATATCCCTAACTTTTCTGACTAAAATTCTTGGGTACAGATTCCTTGACCTGTGACCATGAGGAGGAACCACGTGGCATCTGGGAAGTGGTGATTAATAGAATACAGATAACCTTGCAAAAGCCACTAGAGCAAAGGGCTTCCCGGGTCTCACAGCAGGAAGGTAAACTGTATCAGTGCTGTCCATTAAAATAGTTCACAGAGCCGCAATACCCTTGAATAAAATGGGGGGGAGGGGACCTGGCTCTTTCAAAGGTTGAGAAATGTAGAGGATTCATAAAGCAAACGTACTTCACAGGGCCTGGTTTTCCAAAGCCTTGCAGTTTCAAATACCGACCTTGCAAAGGACAGGAAATTTTCACCAGGCTATTGACTCTCTGTTGCAAGATAAGAATCATAACACAGCAAGGCTGCTGGTTCAAAGACAGAAAGGTTACTTGTTGATATGTAAAGTTACTAAAAAGCTGCTAGAGGGAGAAGGAACGTTTGCTAAATCAAGCCTTTGTTAGTGGATCACTTAGTTGTTTAATAGAATGTCATCTGACTTGTTTTTACTGAATGTTACCAGTTTCTATTGAAAAAACTTGTTAAACTGTACTTAGCAAAACGCCACCTATGTTTCTTCCTGTAACTTCTTGAGAATAGCCCTCCCTGTTGAGGGCTATGGGATATTAACCCCTTTCTGGGGCGTCTCACTGCTCAAAAGAGATGGGCTTTGAGTAATCTTTGGCTGCTCCATCACCCAGGGGGAAAGGAGTGACAAATCCGTGGGAGGCAAAGCAACAGAAATGCAGAAGGAAAGATGGAACTCCTAGCTGGGCTGCAGAGCGGTCTATGGGAGGGTGACCCGGCTGGCCCCACCTCTGCCTGAGGGCCCAGTTGCTGGAGGAGCCCCTGGCCTGTAATGGAGGAAACAAAGGGTGGCAAAAAGGGCTCAACACACACAGCCCCTCTTTGCACTTGACAAGCAAGATCTGTTTCTCAGTAAATCCTTAAAAACAGAAAAAAAGAGCCATCAAGGTGAGAAAACAAAGTGCCCTGCGAGGCCTCCAGAAAGTCTTGCTGCACATTCAGGGCTCACCCGCACCTTCATTCACATCAACATTCTTCCAGAGCAAGGCATTTTGGCAATAAAATTTAACATTAAATACCTGGATTTGTCCTTTGTTTCTTTTCTTTATTAGTCTTCCACCCCAAATTCTCAATCCTTAAGAAAAGAAACAAAAATTACCACTTATGTAATCATGAACCCTGAATTTCCCCTCAGTCTCCATTAATAGAAAAAGTGACAGGCAAAGAAAACGATACATTAAAAGCAAGTCAGGTTTCTGATATTCTGTTTATCTTTGTTAATTTGAAGGTTTTTTAAAATTCAAGTTTAGACAAATTTGTTATTAACAGAAATCTCTTCTACCTAGTAGGTAGAAGTTTGTCAAATTATGTCATTAACACAAAAAGTTAAATGTAAACAAGGAACACACAAGGGTACTTCAAAAAAAGTTCATGGAAAGACTCACATTATCTTTAATTCTATTTTCCCGTGAGCTTCTAGAAACATCCTTGTATCTATGCCAGTCACTATCCTTAAAATGTATATATTGAGGGCTATCTATATACTACATATAGAGAGAGTAAGCACTTTTCAGAGACAATCTCTATATCCCAAATACAAAGTACGTGTTTTCTGAGGCTAATCTGCCCTCTGGTTAGATTTCTTATGGCTTGATGAAGACCAAAGAAACAGACATGTACTGCTGGAATATTTTAGTTTCTCCCTGTGTAAACTTTTTACCCAAGGTGTGCCTGGATCAGCTATAAAGTGATAACGAGTTGATAAGGCTGCACAGGAGGCACTGACCTCAGCCGGTGCAAACTCTCTCCAGCTCTTTACCAAAGAGAATCTATGAGATTTAAGTCAGTTTACAACACTAACCAGTAAATAGAATGGCCTCTTTTCCTTATTCAAGTACTCAGAACTTCAAGGGTGACAGTTACTACCACAAATGAGACAGGGCAAACAGCAGTCAGTATGAGCGTTTACTACCGCGGGGTGCTGTTCCAAGAGCGTCACAAGGATTCTACGTAACCGTTACAACACCCACACCAAGCAGAGACTCTTGTCATCTTTCCATTTTACAGATGAGGAAACTGAGACTCAGCCCAGCTTAGCAACAGGCCCAAGCTGACAGGGCTGTTCGCGGCCACCGGGGATGCCAACCCAGTCAGGCAGAGGCATTTTTTAACCAGAATGCATTTATGTTGTCTTCGGGAAGTCTGTTTTAAGAAGTAAGCCTGTTGGAAATAAGTAATTTAGGTAATTTACAGGTTCAGGGGAACAAGTGATGATTGGGTTACTATTAGGTAAACAAAGCCTATTTTCATGAGGGAGCCGGGGCAGCATTTCAAACTCCAGAAGGCACGACCCTGTTCACACTCTTCATCCTAAATACCGAGAACGGGGCTGACTCCGTACCCTGGGGCGTCTCGTAGGTCAGCGTGGCCATTTGCACCAGCGGGGCGTCCTCAAAGGGCTGGTTGTACTGTGGGGAAAAAGGGGGTCCCGTCAGGTCCGAAGGCCACGAGGAGCCCCGGAGCCGGACTGAGGCGGCGCCAGCGCGAGGCCGTCTAGGGCGCCCCCAACACCCCTCCCCGCGCCCGAGCGCCCCGGGCTCTGCCCGCCCCGCCTAGCCCACCGGCGGGGGCCGCACCTTCTCTATCAGCTCCTGCATGCGGCTCTGGAAGCGGCGGCGACTGTCCCTGAGCTGCCACAGCAGCGTGTCTTCTTCTAGGACCTCGCCCTCCATGGCGCAACCCACACCCAGCCTCGACCCCGGCCCTGAACCCGGATCGCGGGCCCTCTGCGCGCCACCAGCTCAAATAGGTGACTCCACCCTTCCTGCTCGCGTCTCGGTTGCCTATTGGCTGGAGCGGAGAGGCCGGGCGCTGATTGGGCCTTTCGAACATGTTTTCGCAGCTCTCTTCCGGCTAAGCAGCGCCGTAGTTTCCGGCCCCGCCCGGAGGAGCGCTTGTGTCTGGAAGGAGGGAGAGGCCGGGTCCGCCCCGGGTCCGCCCCGGGTGGCGGCGGTGATGGGTGTGGCCGTTCCTGGAGCCGTTTCTGGAGCCGCTCCCGGGCTTGTTTAATCCACGGTGCCGCGCGAAAATTCTGTGCGATACGTATTATTTCCCTCCATTGTACACAGGAGACAGGAGAGAAGATGCTTCTAATTTGATGCCATTCCCTGCAACCCCCAACCCAGCCTTGGCAGCCTAAATGTGTGACCTCGGGACCCCAGAGCTGCTAAGCAGACTCGTTCCCCACCCCCGTGCACCCGGGACAGGTCGCGAGTCGGCGCCTTCCCCAGCAGCAGAGCGTTTCCTTCGGCGGCAGAGGTGAGGGCGGGGTGCTCGGCCCTGGCTGCAGCATCTTCTCGGGCTGCACCTGCACAGCCCGCTGCCTGTCTTGGGATTTCCAACCCTCCGAGTGTTGTTTCAAATATGTGCCCAGGAAATAAGCGTAGTGCTCAAATCTAGTGGCTGCTCCAATAAAATGGGCCTGAATTTTGCTTCAAAGAAAATAGATGGGGATTTATTCTGCACAGAGTTGCCTTGTAAATAATTTGATGTTAGAAAGGTGTGGAAATGTCCGTGGTTGGAGAAGCTTTCGCTGGTCCCAGCGGTAACCTAGAAACGGATATGTAACAATGAGAACGTCTGGTTGAGGTGAGTTATCAACCATAAACGTCAGGCCCCATCCATTAGACTGCCAAGAAAAGGGTTCACTCTTTTCTAATGCTCCAGAGCTAATGCAGACAGAGGTTGTGAAATAGCTGGCAGCGTGCGATTTTCCACGAGGTGTCAGTCAAAGCTCACAAAAGGTGTTTATTCTTTGATTTAATGAGTCTATTTGAAATCTATCTGAGGTAATTAAGGCTGTTGGCAAGGATTTAGCTGGAGGATCTTTAGTGAAGCCGTGTTTATAAAGTCTAATACGAGAAGGGTGGTTGATACCTACCTGTGCTCCATTAACAACAACTTTTTTCTTTCGTTAAATTTTTATTTTGTCCATATACAATGTATTAGATTATTACGGCCCATCACTGACACCTCCCTTCCTCCTCCCTCTCTCCCCTCCCACCCAAGAATGTCCTTTCCATTTGCTTGTTGTAACAACTTCAAAAAAGTATAGTTGTTATATCTTTTTACCCCACCCCCCCCGGTTTTTTTGTGAGTGTGTATGTGGGTGAATTAATTTGTTTATTTTTAGCTCCCACCAATGAGTGAGAACATGTGGTATTTCTTTTTCTCTGCCTGACTCGTTTCACTCAATATTATTCTCTCAAGGTCCATCCATGTTTTTGCAAATGGCAGTATTTCATTCGTTTTTATAGCTGAGTAATATTCCATTGTGTAGATGTGCCACATTTTCCGTATCCACTCATTCGATGATGGATATTTGGGCTGATTCCAACTCTTGGCTATTGTAAAGAGTGCTGCAATGAACACTGGGGTACAGGTATACCTTCGACTTGATGATTTCCATTCCTTTGGATATATTCCCAGCAGTGGGATAGCCTTTGAAACAAGGAGGACACAATGAAGTGAGCCTGGTATTTTGTTCCACCCTTCGACAATG